TTTTATGATCAGTGTCAACCGATGTACTGTGCGTATTCGTATGCACATCGTTTTGATGTTCTTTTCGTGTTCACAACATTCTTTGGTATTTTCGGCGGGTTATCATTTATATTAAAACAGAATGCACCATTTCTTGCCTTGATAATATTACGTCGGAAAAATAGAGTTGCGCCAGGCAGCAATGCACTGGTCATTCAACAAAATAAATGTAAGTTAAAACTTAACTTTCCGTTACATATTTGAAGTATTTTTAGTGCTGGTATGGTTGTGTCGAGTTCGAATACTATTCAACTACATTACACAGAATATCGTTAATTTAAATCTGTTTGAAACGCAAACTCTACGTTCAACTAGTAATATTTTTCGAGAAAAACTTTTCACAAGAGTCTTTCTTCTACTTATTAGTATTTGTTCTATTGGAGTTGGATTTTACATATTCTTTGTTGTCCAAAGTCAAGTTATCACTGTCCTACGACCTACTTATGAAATATATCAACAATTGAGTGATATTTATTCCGACACATTAAAATGTCCTTGTCAACAAGTGTTGATTCCATACGAAAACTTTATGAATGTTACATTCGAATTGCATCAAGTATGTTCGAGTGATTTGATTTCATCAAATTGGTTAGATTATATCGCATCTCTTGATCCTATTCAATTACTTCCGACATATTTCACTGATTTTCGTGCTAGTGGTACCTCTTACTTTGAACTGTTGGCTATTTTCTGCACTCTCACTAATTATCATATCAGCGATGCACAAGACATTTTTACTGCTACGCTTTTTATCAATGATCATGCTCTTACTGAACAGCTCTTTGTGCAACAAACTACAGCTATAATTCAATCATACACTGCTAGTATCCGCAATGATTTTCAACGTTCTATCGACTTGATTGAAGTTGGTTTAAGTACCAATCAGGTTATGACTGGGACGAACACGAATTTTTATGTTGATATTGATGTCAACGGTTTGTTAGACCTCAGAGATGGCTACTTTGTGGTGGCATTTACCATTGCTGATTATGGGGTCGGTGTGGTTGGTTTTTGTGTATGTGGGTTTGAAGTCAATGACGATAACTGTTACGGATGGAATTTTATATTTCCAAATGGTACTCGTCAAGTTCGCTATGACTACCTGTTTTCTGAGGTACGCGTTGGTTGTGTGCCTTTAAATGGATTCTTTGCCTCGACGTTCTCCTGGTGGTATAATCAAACATATTTGGATAGAATTCAAGAATCATATGCCTCAATACTTGGCTCACAATCGTTGCCAAAACTTGAACAGCTCAACACATCTGTTCAAACTCGATTTCACAATGAGACGATGGAATATTTACTTCATCAGATGTTTCTGGAAACATCGTTGACGAATAACACAGATTTCCAACAGTTCTTTGACGCATGTGCGCCAAGTTCTTGTTCATATACAATTGAACAACGTCGTGATATCATCGTTCTACTTCTTCTTTTCATATCAATTTGCGGTGGATTGAACAAAATCCTCCGCATATGCGTACCAAGTATCGCCCACATGATCTTCTTCATTATTGATTATCGAAACAATCGAGATCACCAGGATGGTAAGTAACTGTATGGCATTGACTAAGATGTATACCTCATTTTTAGCATTAAGTCCGTTTGTTACTCGTTTCAAACATCTCCTCAATGTTATTTATAATTCATTTAAGAACCTAAACTTATACAACACAAAACTAAACACTGAAGTACGACTTCAAAAACTATACACAAGAATTTATATTCTATTGTTTACGAGTTCACTCGGTGTTTTAATCTTTTACAATGCAGTCGTCGAACGAAGTGTTACAAAAACATATCCATCGCCATCGATTGCTGATTATGAACGTTTACTAAATTTGTATCCCGATAATGTCAATTGTCCGTGTGCATACCTCGCAATTCCTTATGATAATTTCGTTACAGAATTGCGTGTAGGTGTGTTTCATCAAGCGTGCTCCACTAACGTAATATCTAACATTCTTCTAGCAGGTAAGAGCAATTTTATTCAAGAATACGCACCAGTATATTATGGTTTAGGTATGCCGCTTCCTTTCTCTAGTTTTTCGAACAAAAACGATTTTCGAAATGTCATCACTGTTTTCACTCGAGTTATGACACAGCTCTGTACATTAGCAGAAAGGACCATTAAGAAAGGTCTTCTCACCTTTCACAATTCTAACATGTTCGTCAAGCAAATCATCTCTCGCCAGCAATTTGCTAATGAAACTAATAAAATCATTCATCGGTTTCAAGAGAAATTACCGATGGAATTTGCTCGTACATTAAACTTGATTCGTACAATACTACAAGGAAATGCTTTGTTTAGCCGAATACCATTCAATTGGCGAATTATAATCAATGAAGAAAATCAAGGAGTAAATACAACATTTCGTACTGAACCTGTTTTCTATCTCAATAGTGAACAAAACACGAATTGTACATGTGCCACTCAACGAACTTGCACTATACCAGGAATCATGTACAATGGTTCTTCGTCGTTGCCATTGAGAGGTTTTAAACTAGGCTGTTATTCACTTGAAACAGTACTCCTATCATCATTATCATGTTTTTATTCGAGAACATGTATTGATGATTACCGATATTATACATTCATGTATCTTGCTGATCTGGACCTGATTTTTAATGGTACAAATGAAGTTATTCAATTGAACTCTTCATTGACACGATTCAACATCAATGACACAGTCGAAACGATGGCCCATGAACTGTTTATTGAATCATGGATAAGTAATGTTTCGTATGAAGCATTTTTCAACAGCTGTGCTCCCAGTTCTTGCACTTATAAAAACTATTATCGATTTGATATACTCGAATTGTTAGCAGTGTTCCTAAGTGTGTACACTGGCTTATCTACTGTTATTCGATTCATCGTACCATATTTTGTTTCAATGATTAGAAATATCCGTCGTCGTATTTGTACATAAAGCTCTTCTATTTGCTGCTGGGTTTCCTTTTATAGAATGTAATTGNGTAAGAACAAACGACCTCGTGCATCGACTGTCGACGATAAAAAGAAAAAGAAATCCAAACAAAACTATTCCGTCACTCGTTTCGAACATTTGGCAAATGAACTCATCTACGAAATCTTCGATTATCTCGACGTTCATGACCTTCATCAATCTTTCTTTTCACTCAATGCACGCCTCCGACATCTCTGTCTACATGCAAATCTTTCTCTTCGAATCGGAATGACATCATCGTCGAAAACGACATTCAAACGCTATTTCGATGATATTATCTTGCATCATCAACATCAGATTCGATCGCTCTATCTCTACAATCCGTTCGTCATCGATTACTTTACCTTGTCACAATGTTCTCAACTGGAAACGTTAACTCTAGGTAACATTGGGTGGGAGCGTCTGGAAATTCTTCTCACTACTTTGGTGTCTGTACCAAGTGTTCTGTCATTATCGATGTGTATTGGAGATGGTGGGATACAAGCAACGATCTACAGCTTGATATTTCAATTTCCTGCGTTGAAATACTGCAAACTAAACTTTCAAACAAATGTGCCACTGAACTCCTTATCGGTTTCAACAAACTCAACAAGTCCTATAGAGCGATTAATTATCATTGATAATTACAGCTTTGATGATATCAATATGATTCTTCCATACGTTCCAAAACTACGTTACTTATCTGTTCGATATGAAAATCAATCTCACCTCACAAATATATCCGTATGCCAAATTTTGTTTAATGACTCAGCACGTCTTTTGCTGATAGGAAATCGTTGGTCACTGGGAAATGTTGAAGCCTTCGTCAGACAACATTCGAATCGCATACGCGTCTTGGATGTTACGCCAGTGGCAAGTGTGAACGATTTACAGACATGGGAAAAGTCCATGCTGTCACATATTCCATATGTTAGTACCGTCAATTTTAAACATGGTAAATCAATAGCCTGTCGTTTAACAGACGAACTCTATCAATACATTCGCGATCGCTCTTTTATGATTACATCAGAAACAAAACAATACTTTTTTACTCATGAACCAATGTCTGAAGTGTCTCTACACGAAATAGTTTCTTCTTGCCCATTAAACAAGTATGCTATTTAAATATATATGTATATAAAATCGATAATATTTTGTGTATTTTTAGACATAGAGATTTCCGAATAGATGCTAAATTCGCTACAACTACGTTCGAATGTCATGACAAAGTAGATACTGATTCTATTCGTCATATATTGATAAGTGATCTGACAAAAGTTCGTCAATGTACGCAATACTTCTCAAAGACAACTGAATTAACAATTGACGATAAAAGTACTACAGACAAATCACACATAATCAAAGATCTGCCCCGTATTCTTTCCCTCAGTCAACTAACGAACTTATCTATGAGACAGATTGACCAAGAATTTGAGATATTTATCAAACTATTATGGTTATCACCAAATGTTAATACAATCAAATGGGTATCCATCGAAAAAGCACCAAACAATATTACTTCGTTAGAAAAGAGACAAAATTTTCAACGGTTATCGAAGCAAAATCAAGTTAAAACCATTATAATTACGCGTGATTATACAAAGAAAATGATGGAAGTGTTAGTTCATCTCTGTCCTCGAGTTCAATACATTTCTATTGGTCGATCTGAGCGATCACTCGATGCTACTGTGCATTATCTCCTGTCAGAAATCAATGGTGCTACTCTTCGTCTGTTTTCTCTGTGCGTTCGACGAGCATGTTCAAGTTGGATGACATACTGGAAAAATCAAATCGAATCAGAGGGTGTTTTCAATGACTATTCGATCAAAATCATTGATAAGAACTTTTATTTATGGTGGAATGATTAAACAAGTGTCACTTGTTTTGGAGTCGATGCATGACATCAGTACGAACAGTTTTTAGTCTTCATGTAGCAGACGATGCTCGAACACAAGGACCATTCCTGTGTTTGAGAGTAATGAATAAATGTAGTTTCCCTTTGTAACCTACACCTATAGATAGAGTTAATAGTTTATAATGAAGTGAAAGTTAAATCTAGTGAAAAAGGCGTTTGATGAAGTCAAAATGTTCTCTAACTCCTCACAGATTTCTCTTAGGGTATTAGAGGAAATTCATAGATATAACATTCATCAAGATAATTCACAAGTAGGACTCGCCATGATGTCATTTCAACATCACTTTCCTTCATTAACAGGTACCAACCGGGGCATCAATATAATTTCCACGTAGATTTCGAACAATATATATATAAAACAACTTTCAAGTTTCTACCAATCTAAGTCAAGTACATTTTTCAGTCGGTGTTTGTCAGCTGTCATTCGGCTCATAGTAGCATATTTTGTTACAATATTTAGAAAGATACATCGTCTGTTTTGGTATGAGCACATGATTATATGGAAAAGTTTTCTGTTCTGCTTTTAGTATTTGTAATTACACCACGTTGTGCAATTCAATTTTATTTGTGAGTATAAAAGTCAGCGTACAAAATGAAATAAATTTCGTCCAAGAATGAATGTAAACAAACGACATTCTACGTCGACAGTCGATGATGCCGAAAAAAAGAAATTCAAACAAGATTTTCCCATCGCTCAATTCGAACACTTAGCCAATGAACTCATCTACGCAATCTTTGATCATCTTGATGCTCAGCAACTCCATCAAAGCTTCTTTTCACTCAATCAACGCTTCCAATATCTCTGTTTAAATGCCAATCTCTCACTTCGAATCGGAATGTCATCAGCATCAAAAACAATATTTGAACGCTCTTTCAACGATATTATCTCGCATCATCAACATCGAATTCGATCTCTCTATCTATTCAATCCATTCATCATTGATTATTTTACTATTTCACAATGTTCGCAACTGCAAACCTTGACTTTAGGTAACATTGAATGGGAGCGTTTGGAAAATGTTCTCATTACCTTAGCATCTGCACCAAATCTTGTGTCACTATCGATTTATATTGGGGGCGTTGGAAAACAAGCGACAGTTTACAGTTTAGTATTTCAATTACCTGCATTAAAATCTTGCAAACTAAACTTTCAAACGAATGTTCCATTGAAACTATCTGCAATTTCAATAAATTCAGTGAGTCCTATTGAGCGTCTCATCATCATGGATAATTATAGTTTCGATGAAATTAATGTAATTCGATCATACGTCCCAAAACTACGTTTTTTATCTATTACTCGTAAACACGAATATCCCGTACGATACATGCTCTTCTGTCAGATCATATTTCNTAAGACGCGTCTGGCAAGCTTTTTTACAGTTGAATCTCTACAAAAACTCGTCGAGCAATGATCAAACTGCTTGCAAAGAATATCTCGCTACTCGTATTTATGTTTGTTGTCTGGCGATAGCTATCATCATAGTTACCATTACGACGTCTTTGATCACTCGTCTGGTGAATAAAATTGAATACTCACCGTCATTCGAACGATTTCTAGTACTAACATCAAAGTATCCGAACAGTATTCATTGCCCGTGTACAAAAGTCGGAATTGGTTACGATGCGTTTGTTGTCACTCAAGTTCGATTTCATCAAGTATGTTCGAGTCAGTTTGTTGAACAAACGTGGATTGATATGATGTTTGCTGCACAAAATAGAACGTTTATATCGGCAGGTGATTTTCGAACGAGATTGATCTTTTTCTGGCAGTTGATCGCAGGATTTTGTACGATTAGCAATAGAACATGGAGCGAAGTTGTCGTCGGCTTTGATGCAACTCAAATTCTTAGTCAATTAGCAATCTCGGAAGATCTTATGCGGGCTCAGGTCTATGCAGATTTAAAGAAACAAATAGCTATGGTACAGTCAGCGTTCATTCGTGATTTACGTTCTATTCGACAAACATTTCGTGGAAATCAAATGGTATCTGGCTTAGGATCAAATTTCTATATGAAATATTCAGCTGGCGACGGCACACAGTTTCAACCAGTTCCACAAATGGCGCCACAAATGTATAATAATTGCACATGTTTGAATATTGCAGGGTGTCCGCATCTTGCTACTTTTAATGATAGCCACGATCATTTAATTATGGTACCAGGAATGATCTCAGATTGTTTAGTGCTCGATGGTGCACTTGCTTCTACATTTGAATGCTATTATAATGAGACATGTATTTCTCTCTTACATGAGACAGTACCGATAACGCTAAAACCATTATCGAATGATTCAGACAAACATTTTGTGATGAAATCAACTATAGAAACGCTATTGAATGAAATGATGATTGATGAAATGAGCAGTACAATTCGATTTGATCTATTTTATGATCAGTGTCAACCGATGTACTGTGCGTATTCGTATGCACATCGTTTTGATGTTCTTTTCGTGTTCACAACATTCTTTGGTATTTTCGGCGGGTTATCATTTATATTAAAACAGAGTGCACCATTGCTTGCCTTGATAATATTACGTCGGAAAAATAGAGTTGCGCCAGGCAGCAATGCACCGGTCATTCGGCAAAATAAATGTAAGTTAAAACTTAACTTTTCATTACATCTTGAGTCTATTTTTAGTGATAGCATGGTTGTGTCAAGTTCGAATACTATTCAACTACATTACACAGAATATCATTAATTTAAATCTGTTTGAAACGCAAACGCTACGTTCAACTAGTAATATTTTTCGAGAAAAACTTTTAACAAGAGTCTTTCTTCTGCTGATTATTGTTTGCTCTGTTGGAGTTGGAATTTACATATTCTTCGTTGGTCAAAGTCAAGTTATCACCGTTCCACGACCTACTTATGACGTTTATCAACAATTGTATGATACGTACTCCGATGCATTAAAATGTCCTTGTCAACAAGTGTCTATTCCATACAAAACTTTTATGAATGTTACATTTGAATTGCATCAGGTATGTTCGAGTGATTTGATCTCATCAAATTGGTTAGATTATATCGCATCTATTGATCCTATTCAATTACCTCCGACATATTTCACTGATTTTCGCGCTAGTGGCACTTCTTACTTCGAACTTTTGGCTATTTTCTGCACCCTCACTAATAATCATATAAGAGATGCACAAGGTATTTTTACTGATACGCAATTTATCAATGATCATGCTCTTGCCGCGCCACTCTTCATACAACAAACAGCAACTATAATTCAGTCATACATTGCTGGTATCCTCAATGATTTTCAACGTTCTATCGACTGGGTTCAAGTTGGTTTAAGTACCAATCAGGTTTTGGTTGGGACAAACACAAATTTTTATATTTTTATCGATGTTAACGGTGTATTAGATCTCAGAAATGGCTATTTTGTGGCAGCGTTTACCATCGATGAGGATAGGGTTTATGCGATTGGTTTTTGCGGGTGTGGGTTTGAAATTGATGATTACAATTGCTACGGATGGAATTTTATATTTCCAAACGGTACTCATCAAGTTCGATACGACTACATGTTTCCTGAAGTGCGAGTTGGTTGTATGCCTTTAAATGGATTTTTCGCATCGACATTCGCTTGGTGGTATAACAAAACGTATTTGAATAGAATTCAAGAAACATATGCTTCAATACTTGTCTCGCAATCGTTGGCAAAGCTTGACCAGCTCGATATATCAGTGACAACTCGATTTCGCAATGAGACAATGGAAGATTTACTTCGTCAGATGTTTCTAGAAACATCGACGACGAATAACACAGATTTTAAACAGTTTTATGAGGCATGTGCGCCAAGTTCTTGTTCATATACAATTAAGCAGCGTCGCGATGCATTTGTTCTTCTGCTTCTTTTCATATCAATTTGCGGTGGACTGAACAGAATCCTTCGAATATTTGTGCCAAGCATCGGTAAAGTCATTCTCTTCTTTATCGATTATCGTAAAAATCGAGGTAATCAGTATGTTAAGTGACCGTATGCGATGAATTAAGACGCATATCTCATTTTTAGCATTAGATCCTCTCGTCGCTCGTTTTAAACACCTCACCAGTGTTATTTACAATTCAATTACAAACCTAAACTTATACAAAACAGAATTAACCAATGGAGTACAACTTGAAAAAATATACACAAGAATTTATATTCTACTGTTTACGAGTTCACTCGGTGTTTTACTCTTTTACAATGCAGTCGTCGAACGAAGTGTTACAAAAACATATCCATCGCCATCGATTGCTGATTATGAACGTTTATTAAATTTGTATCCCGATAATGTCAATTGTCCGTGTGCATATCTCGCAATTCCTTATGATAATTTCATAAAAGAATTACGCGTAGGTGCGTTCCATCAAGTGTGTTCCACTAACGTAATAGTTAACATTTTCCTAGCAGGCAAGTGTAATTTTATTCGAGAATACAAATCCATATATTATGATTTAGCTATGCCGCTTCCTTTGTCCGGCTTTTCGAATAAAAATGATTTTCGCAATGTAAATTCTGTTTTCATTCGAGTTATGAAACAGCTGTGCACATTAGCAGAAAGGACTATTGAAAAAAGTCTTCTCACATTTCGTAATTCGAACATGTTCGTCAAGCAAATGATCTCTCGCCAGCAGTTTGCTAATGAATCTAATAAAATAATCCATCAGTTTCAAGAGAAATTACCGATTGAATTTGCTCGTACATTAAATTTGATTCGTACAATATTACAAGGAAATGCTTTGTTTAGTCAAATACCATTCAATTGGCAAATTATAATAAACGAAGCAAGTCAAGGGAAAAATGCAACATTTCGTACTGAACCTGTTTACTATTTCAATGACGAACAAAATACCAATTGCACATGTGCTGCTCAGCATACTTGTACTATGCCAGCAATCATGTATAACGGCTCGTCATCTAAGCCGTTGAGAGGTTTCAAACTAGGCTGTTATTCACTTGAAACAGTACTTCTATCATCATTATCGTGTTTTTATTTCAGAACATGTATTGATGACTACCGATATTATACATTCATGTATCTTGCTGATCTGAACCTCGTTTTCAATGGTACAGATGAAGTTATTCAACTGAACTCCTCATTGACACGATTCAATATCGATGATACAATCGAAACAATCGCCTACGAATTGTTTATTGAATCATGGATGAGTAATGTTTCTTATGAAAGATTTTTCAACAGCTGTGCTCCCAGTTCTTGCACTTATAAATACTACTACCGATTCGATGTGTTCGAATTGTTGACAGTATTCTTAAGTGTATATGCTGGCTTATCTACTGTTATTCGATTCATCGTACCATATTTTGTTTCAATGATTAGAAATATCCGTCGTCGTATTTGTACATAAAGCTCTTCTATTTGCTAATAGTTTTCCTTTTATAGAATGTAATTGCATGAGATTGAGCAATTCATTTTTATATTTGCGTATAAAACTAACGACTGAAATTTAATAAAACATATTCTTTCAGTGTTGCGTTGATCCTTTTTCTCTACTCAGTTTGAGCGAAGTAAGTTTCCTAAATTATATTGAAAACATGTTTAAATACAGACTCATCTTACGAAGAAATAAAGTGTATTGATTGTTTGTCAATCGGTGTTTGACCAATAGTTAAAATTCTTTGTCAAAGTTACACGTAGTTATCTACAATCGATATCTCAGTGATAGCTGTTATTGAAAAACGATTTTTATTATTCTGTTCGACCTTTTAGAGTTTATTCTATATTGTTCGATAGTCAACAGGTGTCAGCATTATACTATAGAGATGAGTAAGAACAAACGACCTCGTGCATCGACTGTCGACGATAAAAAGAAAAAGAAATCCAAACAAAACTATCCCGTCACTCGTTTCGAACATTTGGCAAATGAACTCATCTACGAAATCTTCGATTATCTCGACGTTCATGACCTTCATCAATCTTTCTTTTCACTCAATGCACGCCTCCGACATCTCTGTCTACATGCAAATCTTTCTCTTCGAATCGGAATGGCATCATCGTCGAAAACGACATTCGAACGCTATTTCGATGATATTATCGTGCATCATCAACATCAGATTCGATCGCTCTATCTCTACAATCCGTTCGTCATCGATTACTTTACCTTGTCACAATGTTCTCAACTGGAAACGTTAGCTCTAGGTAACATTGGGTGGGAGCGTCTGGAAATTCTTCTCACTACTTTGGTGTCTGTATCAAGTGTTCTGTCATTATCGATGTGTATTGGAGATGGTAGGGTACAAACAACGATCTACAGCTTGATATTTCAATTTCCTGCGTTGAAATACTGCAAACTAAACTTTCAAACAAATTCGCCATTGAACTCCTTATCGGTTTCAACAAACTCAACAAGTCCGATTGAACGATTAATTATCATTGATAATTACAGTTTTGATGATATCAATATGATTCTTCCATACGTTCCAAAACTACGTTACTTGTTTAATGACTCAGCACGTATTTTGCTGATAGGAAATCGTTGGTCACTGGGAAATGTTGAAGCCTTCGTCAGACAACATTCGAATCGCATACGCGTCTTGGATGTTACGCCGGTGGCAGGTGTGAACGATTTACAGACATGGGAAAAGTCCATCCTGTCACATATTCCATATGTTAGTACCGTCAATTTTACACACGACAAATCAATAGCCTGCCGTTTAACAGACGAACTCTATCAATACATTCGCGATCGCTCTTTTATGATTACATCAGAAACAAAACAATACTTTTTTACTCATGAACCAATGTCTGAAGTGTCTCTACACGAAATAGTTTCTTCTTGTCCATTAAACAAGTATGCTATTTAAATATATATGTATATAAAATCGATAATATTTTGTCTATTTTTAGACATAAAGATTTCCGAATAGATAGTAAATTCGCTACAACTACTTTCGAATGTCATGACAAAGTAGATACTGATTCTATTCGTCATTTATTGATCAATGATCTGACAAAAGTTCATCAATGTACGCGATATTTCTCAAAGACAACGGAATTAACAATTGACGATAAAAATACTACAGACAAATCACACATAATCAAAGATTTGCCCCGTATTCTTTCCCTCAGTCAACTAACGAACTTATCTATGAGACAGATTGACCAAGAATTTGAGATATTTATCAAATTACTACGGTTATCACCAAATGTTCATACAATCAAATGGGTATCCATCGAAAAAACACCAAAAAATATTACTTCGCTAGAAAAGAGACAAAATTTTCAACTCTTATCAAAGCAAAATCAAGTTAAAACCATTATAATTACGCATGATTATACAAAGAAAATGATGGAAGTATTAGTTCATCTCTGTCCTCGAGTTCAATACATTTCTATTGGCCGATCTGAGCGATCACTGGATGCTACTGTGCATTATCTCCTGTCAGAAATCAATGGTGCTACTCTTCGTCTGTTTTCGCTGTGCGTTCGACGAGCATGTTCAAATTGGATGGCATATTGGAAAAATCAAATCGAATCAGAGGGTGTTTTCAATGACTATTCGATCAAAGTCATTGATAAGAACTTTTATTTATGGTGGAATGATTAAACAAGTGTCACTTGTTTTTAAGTCGATACATGACATCAGTGCGAACAGTTTTTAGTCTTCATGTAGCAGACAATGCTCGAACACGAGGACCATTCCTGTGTCTGAGAGTAATGAATAAATGTAGTTTCAACATCACTGTAACCTACACCTATAGATAGAGTTAATAGTCTATAATGAAGTGAAAGTTAAATCTAGTGAAAAAGGTGTTTGATGAAGTCAAAATGTTCTCTAACTCCTCACAGATTTCTCTTAAGGTATTAGAGAAAATTGATAGATATAACATTCATCAAGATAGTTCACAAGTAGGACTCACCATGATGTCATTTCAACATCACTTTCCTTCATCAACAAGTACTAATAACCAGGGGCATCAATATAATTTCCACGTAGATTTTGAACAATATATACATAACAACTTTGAAGTTTCTGCCAATCTAAGTCAAGTACATTTTTCAGTCGGTGTTTGTCAGCTGTCATTCGGCTCATAGTAGCATATTTTGTTACAATATTTAGAAAGATACATCGCCTGTTTTGGTATGAGCACATGATTATATGGAAAAGCTTTCTGTTCTGCTTTTAGTATTTGTAATTACACCACGTTGTGCAATTCAATTTTATTTGTGAGTATAAAAGTCAGCGTTCAAAATGAAATAAATTTCGTCCAAGAATGAATGTAAACAAACGACATTCTACGTCGACAGTCGATAATGCCGAAAAAAAGAAATTCAAACAAGATTTTCCCATCGCTCGATTCGAACACTTAGCCAATGAACTCATCTACGAAATCTTTGATCATCTTGATGCTCAGCAACTCCATCAAAGCTTCTTTTCACTCAATCAACGCCTCCAATATCTCTGTTTAAATGCCAATCTCTCACTTCGAATCGGAATGTCATCAGCATCAAAAACAATATTTGAACGCTCTTTCAACGATATGATCTCGCATCATCAACATCGAATTCGATCTCTCTATTTATTCAATCCATTCGTCATTGATTATTTTACTATTTCACAATGTTCGCAACTGCAAACCTTGACTTTAGGTAACATTGAATGGGAGCGTTTGGAAAGTGTTCTCATTACCTTAGCATCTGCACCAAATCTTGTGTCGCTATCGATTTATATTGGGGGCGTTGGAAAACAAGCGACAGTTTACAGTTTAGTATTTCAATTACCTGCATTAAAATCTTGCAAACTAAACTTTCAAACGGATGCTCCATTGAAACTATCTGCAATTTCAATAAATTCAGTGAGTCCTATTGAGCGTCTCATCATCATGGATAATTATAGTTTCGATGAAATTAATGTAATTCGATCATACGTCCCAAAACTACGTTTTTTATCTATTACTCGTAAACACGAATATCCCGTACGATACATGCTCTTCTGTCAGATCATATTTCATGACTCAACATATTTTTCACTACTTGGTGATCGTGTATCACTCGAAGGTATTGAACAGTTTGTAAAAGAGCATTGTAATCGTATAAGTGTATTACATGTGTCGCCAATACCGAACATAGGCGACCGAGAAGCATGGGAGAAGTCCATCCAGTCATACATTCCACATGTGAGTACATTCAATTTCGAATATGGACAATCAACGCCCTGCCGCCTGACATATGAATTCTGCCGATTAATCTATACGAGCACTTTTGGAATCGCAGCATACATGGAACAAAAATTTTTCACACATGAACCAATGTCAGAAGCGTGCCTACACGAGATATTTTGTTCTAGTCAGTTGCATAGGTATGACGTACATATAGACACAATTGAGATTGCAATTTATATCTATTTTTAGAAAGAAATACTTCGAGCTCGATTCCAGATTCAATGTAACTAATTTCAAATGTCATGACAAGGTAGATACGAACTCTATTAATCATGTCATTATACACGATCCGGATGTAATTTCTTGTTGTTCGAAATATTTTTTTGCAAAGGCAACTGACTTATCCATTAATCATGTAAATTTTACAGATAAAAAATTATGCTTAACCGACGAGCTGCTCCGTATTCTTGATCTCAGACGCTTGACAAAATTAACTATGAATTATATTGAAAAAGACTTCGACATATTCATCAAACTACTACGACTGGCACCGAATGTACGTACAATTACATGGGAATCCATCGAAAAAATTCCGAACAACTTGCTGTCGTTGGTGGAAAGTGAAGATTTTCAGTTAGTTTCGCAAGAAAATCGAATTAAAACTATCACCATTACGTCTCGTTATACGAAAAAGATGATGGAAGTATTAGTTCATCTCTGTCCTCGAGTTCAATACATATCTCTTGGTCCGTCCTATCGATCACTGGATGCTACTGTGCATTATCTCCTGTCAGAAATCAACGATGCAACTCTTCGCCTATTTTCGTTGTGCATTCGAGAGGCGTATCAAGATTGGATGACATATTGGAAAGATCAGATCAAAACACATGGAGTTTTCAATGACTATTCCATCAAAATCATCGATAAAAACTTTTATTTATGGTGGGGAGATTGAAAAAGTGTCATTTGTTTTTGGGTCGATACATGACATCCGTGCGAACCGTGTATTTTCGTCCTTCGATCAGTGTGGAACCTTCATGTAGTAGTCGATGCTCGAAGACAAGGACCATTCCTGTGCGTGGTATGCACCGAACATTTCTCTGTGCATCAGAGTAGTGAATAAATGTAGTTTCACCACCCTTGTAGCCTTCGTTTAAATAAAGCTGGATGGTCTATAAAAGAGGCCAAAATAAGTAATGAACTTTGAATCGAAAAAATAGATATTTACTATGAAACTTTGTTCACCTGATCCATCGGGACGATGATATTCACCATCTATGAAATGAAGAATGTCTAGACGCTATTCTATACTTTCGTCAAGACATTTACCCATGTGAGCTTCAAAGAATTGTCCTGGTTCATATCGAAGAAAGCGTAATCGTTCGTTGAGCCCGACTAGTTCAAAATTCTTCCNAAAATCTCCGAAGAACTTGCTGTCGTTGGTGGAAAGTGAAGATTTTCAGTTAGTTTCGCAAGAAAATCGAATTAAAACTATCACCATTACGTCTCGTTATACGAAAAAGATGATGGAAGTATTAGTTCATCTCTGTCCTCGAGTTCAATACATTTCTATTGGCCGATCTGAGCGATCACTGGATGCTACTGTGCATTATCTCCTGTCAGAAATCAACGATGCAACTCTTCGCCTATTTTCGTTGTGCATTCGAGAGGTGTATCAAGATTGGATGACATATTGGAAAGATCAGATCAAAGCACATGGAGTTTTCGATGACTATTCCATCAAAATCATCGATAAAAACTTTTATTTATGGTGGGGAGATTAAAAAAGTGTCATTTGTTTTTGGGTCGATACATGACATCCGTGCGAACCGTGTATTTTCGTCCTTCGATCAGTGTTGAACCTTCATGTAGTAGTCGATGCTCGAAGACAAGGACCATTCCTGTGCGTGGTATGCACCGAACATTTTTGTGTGCGTCGGAGTAGTGAATAAATGTAGTTTCACCACCCTTGTAGCCTTCGTTTAAATAAAGTTGGATGGTCTATAAAAAAGACCAAAATAAGTAATGAACTTTGAATCGAAAAAATAGATATTTACTATGAAACTTTGTTCACCTGATCCATCGGGACGATGATATTCACCATCTATGAAATGAAGAATATCTAGACGCTATTCTATACTTTCGTTAAGATATTTACCCATGTGAGCTTCAAAGAATTGACCTGGTTCATACCGAAGAAATCGTAATCGTTCGTTGAGCCCGACTAGTTCAAAATTCTTCCATGTTTTAGGAAGGAATTGTTCGAGTCTTTGAAAAAGCGTATTTGCCATTGATGCATCATCAATAATACACCGACCACTGTTTCGAAAATCTGTCATCAGCACTAACTCAGCAGCACCCACATTAACTGTCGCTGGACTATAACCACGTTGTTCACTCAATTCAATCCACTGTTGACATTCATCAGGAGTAAAGACATTGAATATAATAAAAGCTAGTTTACCTTCATCCTCAGAATTCGGCAAATATACATCACGCTTCGTTACTTTACCACCGAACGTTGTCATCTGTAAACGACGTAATTGAGAATGTATTTGTACATATATATATTGCAAAATTTTTACTTCATTTCTTACATGATGTGGTGCAATAATATTGACACAAGAAAGAGAATGTGATAGACGCATACAATTAACCCCCTACTAAACCTGACTCATTTCGCCTACGAATTGCCTATTATAGTCTGAAATGTTATTGAAGTTGTACAGAAAGCCATATTTGGCGTCGCGGCTGTATGTACTTTAACTGTTATAGATGATATATCGTGTGTGCCTATAACGTGGAAATATTAGTTTTTCCTCGTTAAATAGGGCAGTACCACCCAGAGTAGACTGTAAGATAGTTTATGTACTGCAAGACAACTTGTTCAAAATATGTATTCTTTCTTAAAGTAGATTACAACTGTATTTAGGATACGAGCATGTGGGAGTGTTCTGGTGAAAAAGCTTCACATATCATGATTTCCCAAGAACAAGTTTTGATGTGTTCAGACACGTAGATGTGTTGGAAAACATTTCAATCATGCATTGATACTGAAACTGAACTAATCAATGATACTAGCAAGATGATCATAGTCATCATCGGAACTGTTGTTCTGTGTATTATTGGTATGGCCATTTGCTTATCTTGCTGTTCCCTCCGACGAGAAGCTGAAAAGCAAGCTGATTCTGTATGTACAGCCTTTGTTCAAGATTCGCAACGATCTTCGTTCCAGTCATTAAAAACTCTTGATTATTATACATTTATGAAAAATTCGAGCAACAATACGCTGCCAACACATGACGAAGAACTCAATCAAAATATGTGATTGGATGAGCTAATAGACGTCTGAGTATTCTTTTAATAAAGTTCGATGAAATTAACTATTCATTGTCGTTTATATTTTTGTGTGAATGCTACTTTATTTTATCTGAATAGATTATCGTCAATTTTTGAAGGCAACAATCGAGTTACATGTTGCTTTCGTGAGAAAATATGCAGAAAATTTAATTCAACCACTGGTCCACAGATTTTTAACAACAATAAAGTCATGCTTTTGTTGAATTCGATTCTACAAAGACTGTACGTAGGTGAAAGTCTGACATATAATAACAAAAAAAAACCGGGAAAAATCCATGTTTATTAATTGAAATTATATCCTTTCTTTAAAATTCTCCCACGTAATCAGCAGGACATCACCGTCTCTGCTTCTACAATTGGTACTTACCTATGTATGTGAGTCACCCTCAATCAGGTATAAAAAGCCACAGATGTACGAGTATTTTCAAATATACCATTACACTCTCATTTGCAACAACAATCGTATTTCATAGTGACAGTAAACAGATGGTGCTGATATTTCTATGTGAGAAATCCTTTATGTGCGATGCTCATTCATAGATGTCTTTTCAACTGAATGTTTCAGATGTGTTTTCCTTCACATTGGTTAACACCATGCCAACTTTCAAAACAAATGAACAGACGAGTTTTGATGTGTCAACTCAATCAAGCGTCTCATCATCATATCAAAGCAATACGCCATCGATTTCTGATATGCATGAAATGAAAATTACAGATCTAACTAATAGAACTAGAGTAGCAATAGGAAAAGTTGCTACTGCTACGTTTTATTATACTACAACTACAGATTCACCATCACCATCATCACTTTCGGGCAGTGCTATTGTTGGTATCGTAATTGGTGTGCTTGTTCTTCTCTGTTGTGTTGGTATATGTGGTAAAAGGTCTGGCCATTGGGAAAATGTAAAGGTTTGGGTCGAACATTAAACTTGATATTTTACTTTATTTTTTCATGTTTCATTTGATTTATTTTACACAACTCAGTTTTTATCCCGGAAATAAACGCTTTCAATTTGTTTCTCAACAGTGATAGGCGTCATTCGTGCAGTCATGTCAATGACTCATGTGTGGCACCGTCCATCCAAAGCACGTTTACTTCCGCACTCTCAATGAGCTTTAAGGCCTCCCAATTGTAATTTACACGATTAAATACGTTCTTTCAAGGTTTTGCCTTTTCAAACACCGCGTTCAGGTCTCATTTTAATAGTTTCTATAATAATTAAGATATTGTTCACTTTAATAATAATTGTCGAGACATGACTTGCTTCCGGACGTATGTGCAACTACGTGACAGTTGTTCTCGAAACAAAGCTGCTGATACATTCAACCACATTGAATATGAAAAATATTTCGCCAATTATTGTACATCTAACGATGATGTTTTGAATAGAAATATGAATTGAACAAATATCGATATATGGTCACAATGATCTTTTCTGAACCTCTTATTAGTTTTGTCGATTATTTTTCATTATTGAACATAGTCCAAATGTGCCATTGAGTAAATGTTTTATTTTATTTTATTGTATTTGTTTTTCTGGCATTAGTCAAGTTGATGAACTTAACTGCGCAAAAGAATAAAATGCAAGCGAAGATTAGTGTATTATTGGCCATCACCATTTGGAATAACGACAAAATATAGAAAAAAAACAGTTGACTTTATGATATTATCTATGACACGTAGAGCACGATTGATATCTCCAGTCGCTGCTCAACTACTATTTTCAAATTTGACCAAATTGAGAGAATGTATATAGATGTTATCGTTTCAATTCTTGTTGTGAAAATCCTCCATCGCTGTACGCTTATTAATTCAGGTAATCTCGCATTATTAACTTATGAGTCATTGATACAATGTAGAACATGATTCGAAATCATGATGATGTTGACGAGAAGCATTCGTGTATTGACATTCTATTTACAGGCTTACGTGTTACAACTGACTCTCTATGTTTTACACAATTCGTCTTTTTAATGACTAACACTGTTTCACGCGGATGTATCATCAATTACTGATTAACACATTGGTCGCCGGAACGAGAATATCGTTGAATTAAAAATAGTCGCGTCATCGTTTTTCTAAAACAAATTCATTTTGACACGAGAGAAGTAACATACAAATGGTAGTAATTTTCTTTTGTAAGTTCTCATTAAAACACTTTGTCTAACACGATCGCTAATCTATATTTTGAATTAATTGTTTCAGATATTCTTTTGTGTCCTCTAGCTAACACGATTCCAAGTTCTTCAATAACAACTCGGTGCAAAGTTCAACGGATCTTTCTACAACAAACGAGCAGGCTGATTTGCATGTTTCAATTCAACTGGAATTTACACTATCATATAAGAACTAGACGATACTAAAAGAAAAAAGTTGCTATTACACCTTACTACCAGTGCTATTATACGACAGCCAAAAGTCCATCGCTCTCGGAGCGGTGCCACTGCTGGTATAGTAATTAGTAATACTCACGATTCTCTGTTGTGTTTGTGTATTGACATGCTCCAAGTCTGGTCATTGAGAAAATGCGAAAATTTGGGGTGATAATTAAACTTAATATTTCATTTTATCTTTTCCAGTTTGGTACGATCCGTTTCGCGACGTTGAACATGTCGGAATCAATATGAGTGGAAAAACGCTTCATGATTTACGTGATATTGCAGGATTCAAATACTTTGAATTATTCAAATCGTTTCTCACTCGTCAGCCTAATTGAATTTTCATCGATTGAAACATATCATTCACATCTCTGATGCGTTTGTGCGAGTATTCATCCAACAGAAACAAACGAATGAGCAGCTCACACCACTGGCCCTCTGCTGGATGTATCAGTCGAATTTTAGATGAAAAATTATGTTTTTGCGTGTCCCTGTTATAAAAGAGAGATTCATGTCATTTCGTAGAGAAATTTGCTCTTTGGTTTGAAAAAAAATCAGACACAAATAGGAATTTACTTCGTAGTATTAATTTCCGTTACACAAGCTCTTAAACAAAAGAGCCAAATGGCCTCATGCCGCTAACGCATGGGCCAGTTACAGAAAATAAGTGATACGATGCATGGATACAATACAAAATGTGGTACAAACTTATTATGACACTGAAAAGAAACGCTCGTACTTATATTCTATTCATAGTCTTTCACATCATGATGAGTAACTCTATTCATAAACGAAAAGCGTTTGCCTACCCTCTTGTGTTAGTACGAGAAAATCTATTCGGGTACCTTGAAGTGATGTCATGATGTTTTGCTCTATTCATTTTTCTATAAGTAACACATTTTTAGTAAGATCTATAAAATTGCTGATTAGCGCATTTGCCGATAAGACAGAAAAGGTTGTCGACGAGACACGAATACATCTTCGATACGTATTAGCATATCATTCTTTTTTTTTAACAACGAGACAATCAGTGTGTATCAATGGTAGCCATTGTAATTTGTGAGTAATTATTAAAATATTTTCCGTATTTTGAATTCATCATTTCAGATATTTTTCTATTACCTCTAATGAACACATTTCCAACTTCTTTGATAACAAATTCTGCAGACAACAATAATAACTTGATGCAGAATTCTACTGATTTGCATGAGACCACCACAGTATTGATTACTGAAATGAAAGAAACAGAAACGACAAGTTCAAGCAATACGACTGTACCATATTACGAATATAATTACGCTTCAGCTGGAAATCCAATGTTCTCCAGCAGCGCCATTGTTTGCATGGTATTTGCCGTTCTTGTTTTCATCGGCTGTGTTTATCCATTGAAATGTTGTAAGAATGTACATTTGGAAGCGAGCAAAGTCTGGATCGAAGACTATAAACTTTACATTTGATTGTATTTTTTTCGAATTTGGTGTGATGTACTTTATGCAACGGCACTTTTATTCTAAGAATATATTTTTGCAATGTGTCTTTTTCAATGAATTTTGAATTTGATTGACAGTACTCACGTATAATATGAATCCATGAAAACAGCTAACTTGAAGAAATCCCTTGTAGAAGAAGGGAGATCATCCTATCTCACAACCGAGAACATGCTGAGATCAGTTGAAGAATGTTTACACACTACAACGACCTTTCACTTGTATTCGTATAGTATTTTGGCAGTTCAAGCAGAATTATAATTACATCAAGACATCAACAATACATGAGAAAGCTCATAGGAGATGTTTTCATCGAGATGTATTTTGCAGAAACTGTCGACTTGTATCAAGTTTTTCATACGTGGCATCTTTGTCACAAATGGATATTCAAAGAAATATATATGACTACTTTTAAACGTTATTTCTGGCAATTAGCGAAGATATATTTATCATCCCTTTTCATACATGAGACAGCTGCTCGATCGCTGTTCTTTCGTTTTTGTTGGAGCCAGCTTTTTCTTTTTTTTTTCTTTCTGATGTTATTCATGAACATTAATGATACTTTTCGAAAGAGAAGGCATAGTTTCATTAGGAGACAAAAAATGAATTTTATGCAAATACAATCGAAAATTCACCGAAAAGTAAAATCTGATCAACAATTCTACTGAGGATGAGAATGATCGAGAGACTTCTTTAACTACGGCCTCACATGTTGAACATCTCTGACTGCTTTCAATTTTGATTAGTTGCCTACAAGTAACGCTCATCCTTTGGATTCGCTGACCCTCACCCTCAAGACTTTTCCGAATGCTGAACACATTCAGAGACTTCGAAAGAGAAAAAACGCACTGCGATTGCTACTGGCGCTCAACTGAATCATGGTATTATGTCACACACTAGAACTAGAATTGTAACGATAATGATATCGTTCATCTCCTTCTGTTCTTTATTCTCTCACCTCTATATCATACTATCTCCGGGTCATATCTCTCTTTTCCTCTTCTCTATATAAGCGCGTGTCTTATTGTGAAATAGATACATTCTGGTCATGTAGAGTAGTCAATAAACATCGATACCGTGAGAAGCGGTCAACTACTCAACCAGTTTGTCGTTACAAGAATAAATAAGATACAGAGGTCTTTCTAGGAATCAGACCGATTAGCCATTTGTCAGTGGATAATTCTCCAGCACTAACTATGTTGACTGAAAAATTCATCGCTCAACGGCTAGTCAGTCGGCCACTCACGGCCAACCATTGACCTTTGTCATCTGTTTTTCTATTTTCACATCGCGCACATGGAAATTTTCATAAATGTTATACTAAGTCACTCATAGACGGACGGTATACNAATTCCGCAAATCTACATCACCCTTCCTTACTTTACCACCGAACGTTGTCATCTGTAAACGACGTAATTGAGAATGTATTTGTACATATATATATTGCAAAATTTTTACTTCATTTCTTACATGGTGTGGTGCAATAATATTGACACAAGAAAGAGAATGTGATAGACGCATACAATTAACCCCCTACTAAACCTGACTCATTTCGCCTACGAATTGCCTATTATATGGTTTGAAATGTTATTGAAGTTGTGCAGGAAGCCATATTTACCGACGCGACTGTATGTACTTTGCCTGTTATAGATGATATATCGTGTGTGCCTATGACGTGGAAATATTAGTTTTTTCTCGTTAAATAGGGCAGCACAGCCCAGAGTAGACTGTAAGATAGTCTATGTACTACAAGACAGCTTGTTCAAAATATGTATTCTTTCTTAAAGTAGATTACAACTGTATTTCGGATACGAGCACGTGGAAGTGTTCTAGTGAAAAAGCTTCAAATATCATGATTTCCCAAGAACAAGTTCTGATGTGTTTAGACACGCGGACGTGTGTATGGGGAAACATTTGAATCATGCATTGATACTGAAACTGAACTAATCGATGATACTAGCAAGATGATCATAGTCATCATCGGAACTGTTGTTCTGTGTATTATTGGTATGGCCATTTGCTTATCATGCTGTTCCCTCCGACGAGAAGCTGAAAAGCAAGCTGATTTTGTATGTACAGCCTTTGTTCAAGATTCGCAATGATCTTCGTTCCAATCATTAGAAACTCTTGATTGTTATACATTTATGAAAAATTCGAGCAACAATACGCTACCAACACATGAGGAACTCAATCAAAAAAATATGTGATTGGATGAGCTAATAGACGTCTGAGTATTCTTTTAATAAAGTTCGATGAAATCCACTATTCATTGTCGTTTATATTTTTGTGTGAATGCTACTTTATTTTATCTGAATAGATCATCGTCAATTTTTGAAGGCAACAATCGAGTTACATCTTGCTTTCGTGAGAAAATGTGCAGAAAATTTAATTCAACGACTGTTCCACAGTTTTTTAACAACAATAAAGTCATGCTTTGGTTGAATTTGATTCTACAAAGGCTGTAGGTGAAAGTCTGACATATAATAACAAAAAAACGAGAAAAAATCCATGTTTGTTGATTAATATCATATTCAATAGAATGGCACAATACAGCAAACAGAATATTCCAATTGGTCTATTCAAGAAAACAGAATAAAAGTCCTCGAAATTGTTATTTACTTAATGCAAATAAAGGCGGCTATACACGTATTTTTTTTGTTGACGAACTGTAAAAAAGCCACCTTCTTTACGGTACTTGAGCTAATTGAAACTATTTCCTTTCTTTAAAATTTTCCAACTGAATCAGGAGAATATCGCATCGCCTCTGCTTCTACAGTTGGTACTTTCCCATGTGAGTCATACGGAATCAGGTATAAAAAGCCACAGATGTACGAGCATTTTGAAACATACCATTACACTCTCATGTGCAACAAAAATCGTATTTCAGTGACAGTAAACAGATGGTGCTGATATTTTTATGTGAGAAATTCTTTATGTGCGATGCTCATTCATAGATGTCTTTTCAACTGAATGTTTCAGATGTGTTTTCCTTCGCGTTGGTTAACACCATGCTAACTTTCAAAACAAATGAACAGACGAGTTTTGATGTGTCAACTCAATCAAGCGTCGCATTATCATATCAAAGCAATACACCATCGATTTCTGATATGCATGAAATGAAAATTACATATTTAACTAATACAACTAGACTAGCAATAGGAAAAGCTGCTACTACTACTACGTATTATCATAATAGAACTACAGGTTCACCATCATCATCATCACTTTCGGGCGGTGCTATTACTGGTATCGCAATTGGTGTGCTTGTTCTTCTCTGTTGTGTTGGTATGTGTTGTAAAAAGTCTGGCCATTGGGAAAATGCCAAGGTTTGGGTCGAAGATTAAACTTGATATTTTACTTTATTTTTTCATGTTTCTTTTGATTTATTTTATTCAACTCAGTTTTTATCCCGGAAATAAACGCTTTCAATTTGTTTCTCAACAGTGATAGGCGTCATTCGTACAGTCATGCCAATGACTCATGTGTGGCACCGTTCATCCAAAGCACGTTTACTTCCGTACTCTTAATGAGCTTTAGGGCCTCCCAATTGTAATTTACACGATTCAATACGTTCCCTCAAGATTTTGCCCTTTCAAACACCGCGTTCAGGTCTCATTTTAATAGTTTCTATAATAATTAAGATATTGTTCACTTTAATAGTAATTGTCGAGACATGACTTGCTTCCAGACGTATGTGCAACTACGTGACAGTTGTTCTCGAAATAAAGCTGCTGATACATTCAACTACATTGAATATGAAAAAGTTTTGCCAATTATTGTACATCTAACGATGATGTTTTGAATAGAAATATAAATTGAACAAATAACGATATATGGTCACAATGATCTTTTCTGAACCTCTTATTAGTTTTGTCGATTATTTTTCATTATTGAACATAGTCAAATGTGTCATTGAGTAAATGTTTTATTTTATTTTATTGTATTTGTTTTTCTGGCATTAGTCAGATTGATGAACTTAACTGCGCAAAAGAATAAAATGCAAGCGAAGATTAGTGTATTATTGTCCATCACCATTTGGAATAACGACAAAATATAGAAAAAAAACAGTTGACTTTATGATATTATCTATGACACGTAGAGCACGATTGATATCTCCAGTCGCTGCTCAACTACTATTTTCAAATTTGGCCAAATTGAGAGAATGTATATAGATGTTATCGTTTCAATTCTTGTTGTGAAAATCCTCCATCGCTGTACGCTTACTAATTCAAGTAATCCCGCATTATTAACTTATGAGTCATTGATACAATGTAGAACATGATTCGAAATCATGATGATGTTGACGAGAAGTAACTTATTCGTGTATTGACATTCTATTTACAGGGTTGCATGTTACGACTGACTCTCTATGTTTTACACAATTCGTCTTTTTAATGACTAACATTGTTTCACGCGGATGTATCAATTGCTGATTAAAACATTGGTCGCCGGAACGAGAATATCGTTTAATTAAAAATAGTCGCATCATCGTTTTTCTAAAACAAATTCATTTTGACATGAGAGAAGCAACACACAAATGGTAGGAATTTTCTTTTGTAAGTTCTCATTAAAACACTTTGTCTAACACGATTGCTAATCTATATTTTCAATTAATTGTTTCAGATATTCTTTTGTGTCCTCTAGCTGACACGATTCCAACTTCTTCGATAACAACTCGGTGCAAAGTTTAACAGATCTTTCTACAACAAACGAGCAGGCTGGTTTGCATGTTTCAATTCAACTGGAATTTACACTATCATATAAGAATTAGACGATACTAAAAGAAAAAGTTGCTATTATACCACAGCCAAAAGTCCATCGCTCTCGGAGCGGTGCCACTGTTGGTATAGTAATTAGTATACTCGCGATTCTCTGTTGTGTTTGTGTATTGATATGCTCCAAGTCTGGTCATTGAGAATATGCGAAAATTTGGGGTGATAATTAAACTTAATATTTCATTTTATCTTTTCCAGTTCGGTACGATCCGTTTCGCGACGTTGAACATGTCAGAATCAATTTGAGTGGAAAAACGTTTCATGATTTACATGATATTGCAGGATTTAAATACTTTGAATTATTCAAATCGCTTCTCACTCGTCATCCTAATTGAATTTTCATCGATGGAAACCTATGATTCGCATCTCTGATGCGTTTGTGTAAGTATTCATCAAACAAAAAACAAACGATCCGCGTTTGTTCCGTCTAAATGTAAAATCAACATTCCGTGTATCTCGTTGTTATAAAAGAGAGATTCATGTCATTTCGTAGAGAAATTTGCTCTTTGGTTTGAAAAAAAAATCAGACGCAAATAAGAATTTACTTCGTAGTATTAATTTCCATTACACAAGCTCTTAAACAAAAGAGCCAAATGGCCTCATGCTGCTAACGCATGGGCCAGTTACACAAAATAAGTGATACGATGATGAATACAATACAAAATGTGGTACAAACTTATTATGATATTGAAAAGAAACACTCGTACTAATATTCTATTCGTAGTCTTTCACATCATGATGATTAACTCTATTTATAAACGAAAAGCGTTTGCCTACCCTCTTGTGTTAGTATGAGAAAATCTATTCGGGTACCTTGAAGTGATGTCATGATGTTTTGCTCTATTCATTTTTCTATAAGTAACACATTTTTAGTAAGATCTATAAAATTGCTGATTAGCGCATTTGCCGATAAAACAGAAAAAGTTGTCGACGAGACACGAATACATCTTCGATACATATTAGCATATCATTCTTTTTTTTTAACAACGAGACAATCAGTGTGTATCAATGGTAGCCATTGTAATTTGTGAGTAATTATTCAAATATTTTCCGTATTTTGAATTCATTATTTCAGATATTTTTCTATTACCTCTGATGAACACATTTCCAACTTCTTCGATAACAAATTCTGCAGAAAACAATAATAACTTGATGCAGAATTCTACTGATTTGTATGAGACCACCACAGTATTGATTACTGAAATGAAACAAACAGAGGTGACAAGTTCAAGTATTACAACAATACCATCAGCAGACCAGATTGTTACTGTACCATATTACGAATACAGTTCCACTACAGCTGGAAATCCAATGTTCTCCAGTAGCGCCATTGTTTGCATGGTATTTGCCGTTCTTGTTTTCATCAGCTGTGTTTATCCATTGAAATGTTGTAAGAATGTACATTTGGAAGCGAGCAAAGTCTGGATCGAAGACTATAAACTTTACATTTGATTGTATTTTTTCGAATTCGGTGTGATGTACTTTATGCAACGGCACTTTTATTCTAAGAATAGATTTTTGCAATGTGTCCTTTTCAATGAATTTTGAATTTGATTGACAGTACTCACGTATACGTACCATATATGAATCCATGAAAACAGCTAACTTGAAGAAATCCCTTGTAGAAGAAAGGAGATCATCCTATCTCACAACCGAGAGCATGCTGAGATCAATTGAAGAATGTTTATATACTACAACGATCTTTCACTTGTATTCGTATAGGATTTTGGCAGTTCAAGCAGAATTATAATTACATCAAGACATCAACAATACATGAGAAAGCTCATAGGAGATGTTTTCATCGAGATGTATTTTGCAGAAACTGTCGACTTATATCAAGTTTTTCATACGTGGCATCTTTGTCACAAATGAATATTCAAAGAAGTATATATGACTACTTTTAAACGTTATTTCTGGCAATTAGCGAAGATATTTTTGTCATCCCTTTTCATACATGAGACAGCTGCTCGATCGCTATTCTTTTGTTTTTTGTTGGAGCCAGCTTTTTCTTTTGTTTTCTTTCTGATGTTATTCATGACCATTAATGATACTTTTCGAAAGAGAAGGCATGGTTTCATTAGGAGACAAAAAATGAATTTTATGCAAATACAATCGAAAATTCACCGAAAAGTAAACTCTGATCAACAATTCTACTGAGGATGAGAATGGTCGGGAGACTTCTCTAACTACGGCCTCAAGTGTTGATCATCTCTGACTGCTTTCAATTCTGATTAGTTGCCTATAAGTAGTTAAACAATACGAGGATATTTTGCGCGAAGCTATTAGTTAAGTGAAGGTTTATTATTGTAATAGGTAAAATAGAGTTGAATCAGAATGCTTTCTTTGTACAGTAAATCGATAACAAGTCTGTTCTGAAATATGATGACATATGTACACAGAAGATGATTTGTATTTTTCAATTAATGTAAGCCCAATAGGCTTCGATTTCGGATAACTTCTTACGTTTTGTCTCAGGCATCTAAAATAAAAATCTTCGTCTTGTGTTTTTCATCCATACGTAAACAAATAAAACACTTACTTTAAACCAAAGAAGAGCAAAAGCTATTGTACAGAAAAGGCAAAAAATAAGAAAAGTATATCCAGCCAACACTGATTTTAACAATGGAAATAATACATTGATGACTATATATTAGATAAACAGAACAGACGTGATCGATCATGATTAGTATCTGGATAAAGAAAAGTTATAGTTACTTGTATTACATAACCAACTAGCAAATATTGATATTGATAGAGCCGCTGGTCGCATATCAATTGTAAATACTTCGTTTGGATATATATATGGAATGGGGCCGAGTCCAACTGCTGATACAGCAATAAATATTAAGATTAATACTTTGACTATAATCTATACAAGAAACTTACGTATATGATATTGAATAGAGAAACAAAGTAACATCATAACTATTGTAATTATGATAAGAGGATATAAAATCTATGGACGACGGCCGAATATTTCAACAAATTTAACTGCTGTTGCTGTCATAATGAGATTGACAATACCAGTTGAAAGCACACCCCAATATACTTTGTCATCAACAAAACCAATATTCGACAACGTTTCATTGGAATAAAAAAATACCTTTAATTTAAAGTATTCATTATTTTGATCTCTTTCATTTGAATTCCTTTTTTTTATATTTGAATACTTACAGTATTAATACCGGACAATTGTTGAACAGCATTCAGTGCAGTACTAGTCAATAACGGCCAACGATAACGATATAAAACAAACATCTCATAAATGGATATGTTTTGTCTTGCAACAGTTGCTTCTTCGCGTTCAATTTCATCAAGTTCTGCATCAATTAAATTAACTTGTCGAAGAATACGTAATGATGCAGTTGCTTCAGTTCGTTGTTGTTCTTGCACAAGCCATCGTGGACTTTCTGGTAATGTCCAAAGGAGAAAACAACCTACGAATGAGAACAATCCAATCCACGACATATCCCAATTCCATTTGCTATCATTGATACAAAGATAAGGAAAGAATTATGTATTGAGAAACTTACTCATGTTGGCCAAGCAACCATGGAAGTCCAATAACGACGAATAACTGATGAAATGTGACAACTTTACCACGCATGGCACGCGCACTTATGTCCATTAAGTAAATAGTCGATACAACACAACACAAACCTATTTCAAATAAAATTTACATTTCTTTGTTTATTGACTAACTTATCAGATGACCGTCCGGAAAGAAAACGTGAGATATAAAGAATAGCAACCGCAATATCTTTAACTTTCAAGTGCATTATTGATCTCTCTTCGATCAGGATCACCTTTTGTATATCCATTATAAATTTCCAATGGAATTATCATAAGAATCGACGCTACTACTTGAAAAACCATACTAACACAAATAGCATTGCGTCTGCAGAACAAACAAATAATATGGAAATTTAAAGAAAAAATAGAAACAAATGTTTTAGAGATTATTAACCTTGTAAACAGCAAATACCAATATTGCCCAGTTAAACCTCCAATTGTTCCACCAATAACAAGACAAATCGAATGCATCGAATCGACAATACTTTGTACAACCTGTTTATCGACAGGTATTCTTGGTAAATAGTAATAGCCTGTCTTATTAAAAGATGAAGTTGCAGTATAATTACAGTCCCACCAAACAGTCGCTACCCATTGTGCGACGCCATCAGCTTTTTGATACGGAAATGGATATCCTCTTGTCCAAGGAATAATAAACTAAAAAAATGTTTTCTTGAAATCTTGAAGGGCAAAATTAGTATAATTACTGAATTATATTGATTCGGACCACCATTATTCACACCCATAACGAAACTAGTTGAAAATGTTACAATCAGAGCAGCCCAGATTAATGATGATGTCCATTTCTATTGTTACAGAGAACATAGATTGAAATAGCTTGTACAATAATCATCAAAATAAGACGCATGATTCATGTTCTCTTTTAACAAATTGAAGATTTTCAGGAGCGATAACCGAATGCGTTGTTAATGTTCGAATTCGCATTTCTTGAATACCTTGAATAGATTGTTTCGCCATGATTTGCCTTATTATATTCAAAAAAGAAATCATTTTCAAATTCTATACGTAAATGTATTCTTATGAGAAAAAAAGACTAAGAAGAATGTGTATTGTTTCGTTGAAGAATATAGACGCACAGTAAAAGGAAATCTATTTATCGATGAATGATTTTTACTCATGTAAAATTTAAAATCGAAAGATAAAAAAACAACACCTATAAGTAGATTTTTACTGAATGAGAGACAGATATTCAACGCAATAGGATTTTCAGATTAGTTTTGTTTTTCTCTCCAACTATCTTTCACGTAGGTACTTTCAAACAATTCCTGTTTTTTTTTTCTAAAGCAAACTTAATGTAGACAGAATAAATAATAGAAGATGTTTTTTTCCGTTAGATTTATCAAGAATAATAATGTGGACGTGATGAGGTACCACACCTTTCATCACACCTCTTTCCTCTCTAGACCAAGCTAGTTTGTAAATGTGCAGTTTTTTTTACTGGATTATGACAAAAAAAAACTTAAAATGAAAGGAAAATCTTCTGCAAAAATGTTTTTTTTAATCAAATGGCCTTCATCTCCAAATAAACTTACAGAATTCATTTTTCAGCATATTATATTATTTGTACAAAAGGTGTACGCTTTGACAGATTGAACTAAACTATTACTGAAACTATTTGAGGAACTAATCAAGTGATATTTGATAAAATCGAACAAACTTTATTAATTACACATCCGCTAGACAGANGATTCTTTTCTCTTCTTCGTGTTTCTCTCTGTCCGTCTCTTTCTCTCCCTGTTCTCTCTTGACCGATGCGCTCAAAAGAAAAGAGAACAGAGAGAACGAATATAAAAGGAAATGTTTGGTTGAAATAAAGCCAGTCGAATCACCTTGAATAAAGTTTGTCGTTACACTCATATAATATTATATCCTTATGTATATAAGAGAGACGAAACGTATTCGAAGGATTAAAAAGCTTTGACACGAACTTAATGTTTACAATGTATTGATAGATTCATACATTCGATTGATAAAATTTCGAAAAAACACTACAGAAAAATTGTTAGACAATTAGTATTCTTATTGATGAAATGTCTAACAAATCACATGCACAGTACGATGTCCACCTTTTTTGCCTTTGACAACATTGGAATCTTTCTCCATATTGTCATGATTTCTGTATGCGACTTGGAACGAATATTCTTTGTTGTTCGTTGATGATGTTGCTTCGTGCATCGATGTTCATGCATTTCATCGCGTACTACTTCCAATGATTGAATCAATTCTTGATGTCCATAATAATTTGCTAAGGTAATGAGGACAAGACGAATTTCGTCAAGAAGAATTGACGTGAGATTATGAGTAAACGTTTAGCGCACGACGATTCTGCACATAGTAATATCACTGGCATTAGCCGCTAGAGTATAATAAGGTATAATCCAACCTCGTTCTCTCAACCAATGCACTAGGGTCATTTCGTTAAATCTGGGATTTTGCGCCGGATTAAGTACAGGTGTCCGGAAAGTCATCTAACAAAAAGAAAATTCCACTTTTCCACTGATAGGATAAAAATCAGTATATTTAGCAAAGAATCTCTTTACGTGTATCTGTATGAATATAAAGCTTGAATGCACCTATATCACCGGTAAAAATACCAGCTCATTTATCTGAGCTTTGGTGAAATTATTCAATTCTCTTTGTGGACAAAGTGACTTTTGCATCATTCTATATATATTTTTTCCTATCTGTGAAAAAAGCGGAATTTTCTTGTTGAAGTCCATGTTTCATAGTTAACAAATAGTTTCATTAGGCACGTCGTTATGAATATAAGCTCTGAACATTTCTTTTCCGCTTAGAAAAAAGAATTGTTCAATTTGAACGAGAAATAACGGTATATACAATTTTCTTTTTGTTAGATGACTTTCCGGACACCCTGTACATACAAACGTATTTCAGTTTTTAAGACCACTTTTTTTTCCGGCAAACCCCTCCATTCAGTCGAGGAAATAACACACATGTTTTTCTTTCTACTCTTTTCTGTGCACAATTGTTTGTCATCAAAACTCGCTTTGTGATCGATATTAACTGAATGATTAAATCATTTCAAATCTATATTTTATGATTCATCGATGTTTTCTATTTGTCAACATAAAAGAAAAACGAAAGATTATTCATGCTCTATCAATTTTAATCAGCAAANTTAAGTGAGTCGCAATGACGAACGTTACTTACTGATGTCAGGCGACATATCTTTCCTTGCAAATCTTCCTTACAGTACCGTCATAGAACTTGCTCGATGTCTTCGTCAGTATAAAGTCAACTCTTTATATATCCATACCTAAATCACGATTTTTACAGAATTACAAAAAATATCATATCTCACAGACCACAAGACAACCAAAACCACCAAGACCACCAAAACCACCAAGACCACAAAGATCATAATACAGCTATGGTTACTATAGTCTATCACAAATTTCTACGCATACAAACTCTCTTATAAAACAAGTGTTAAGCCGTTTTCTTAGCGCATTGCATAAGTATATTGATCATTTAATTTTGTCGAAAAATGTCATTAAATTCGAATTTGCCGTAAAATCAAATTCCCCACGAACTCGTATCTATCGAAGTGTATCGACAGCAGGCATTAGAACAACATAATTTGTATCGTAGTAAACATTGTGCAGCTCCACTCAAACTAAATGCAACACTCAATGATATTGCTCAACAATATGCAGAGCGCTTAGCATCAACGAACACATTTGAACATAGCGGTAGGAGATTCAATGGAGAATGGATGGGAGAAAATCTTTACAAGTCCGGAGGAAATAAACTATTGTATGAATCAGGTATAGTGATACACATCTGTGTTTTTCATTTTTTCAAATTATGTTTATCTTTGGTCAGGTGGTACACCAGTTACAGCTTGGTATGATGAAATAAAAGATTATAAGTATGACAATCCTGGATTTTCAAAAGGTACTGGACATTTTACACAAGTAGTCTGGAAAGCTTCAAAATAGTTAGGTATTGGTAGAGCACTAACACAAGATGGAACTCAACTCTATGTAGTTGCAAATTATTTTCCGGGTGGAAATTACAACAATTTGTATGTTGATAATGTTGGACGACCATCATGTTGAATCTATGATTTAATCACAAAAGACAAATACGAATTAATATAAATTTTTTCTTTTCTTTTCTCATTAACATAACCATATAGACTAACATTAGTTTTACAAACAATACAATTTTTATTTCTTCATGAAAATTTTCTCTATTGATACAAATTATCGGAACATAAATATTTTTTTAATAATTATTCGAAGGTATCTTTTATTTCTCGATTTTAATCGTATTGAATATTAAGAAATCAGTCAAAATTTAAAATGTTGATCGTTAATAAAACACAAAGTTTCCTGATAGAAAAAAAATTTCATATTCACTTTATTTAGAGAAACAATTCCAGAAGTATTCACAATTAGAAAATATGATTTCTTTGAAAGATTTAACAATATGAAAGAAAGATCAAATGAACTCTAGTGTTAACCTCTGGAATATCGAAAAGAAAAGATGGCGCATCACTCTCTCTCTCTCTACCAAATATAGTTGATAAACAATTTGACGTAATTACATAAAATATCTCGTGTTTTTTGTCTTGTTTTCAATCTAAAGATAGCGGTATTCAAACGATAAACATCATAGTTTCATGATAAAAAGAATGAACAATGCGAAATTTTCAAATTCTGTCTGATGAAAAGTTATGTCTTTGACATGAAGTTTAATTTGAGAACAGTCTGACTAGTACATTTCACATCATACTCGAGTTATAATAATTTTCTTGAACAACAAAAATCACCTTTAAAATGTTGGAAAGTACGTCAAATAAAACACATATGTTCTTTTTTTCTTCTGTTTATTGTTATTTTGAATCTCATAAAGAAATGAAGAATTTTCGAAAACAAATTCAATTATTTCAACAAGATAAATAATATTTATTTGAAAAAATTGTTGTTTTTGAATATTTAATATACGCGGTAATAGAATGTTCCATTGTTATATAATGATAAAAGATATATGAAAAAGAGAAAAAGGTTTATCTTCGATTGTCGATAAAATAATTCTAAATTTTTATTCATCAGAAGGAGTAACTTCTGTTGAAGTAATTAATTGGTGTTGGTTACTAATTTCATTCAATTTGTTAATAAATGATTCAAAACCTGGAATTGTTAGTATATTGAAAGTAATCTTTTTACTTGTATTTGTCCAATCGATTTGAATCCATTCTGACCAATCTGTTACACCTCCATAAGAATCGGTTACATGATCATCCAAAGATTTAAATTTATCTGAATCAAATAAAGAAACAAGTTCATTCCATTCATTTGAAGAAAATGGATAAATCTTCTCTAATGGTGGATAACCATCCATAAAAGGTAGATTTTTCATTACGTTTGTAAATGATTTCTTAGAAACAATTATTTGTGGTGGACTAGATGTAATATTCATTGAATAAAGACAATAGCCATAACAAAGCAATGCATTACTGCCACGGGAAATTGATCGTATATAATTATTATTGTTATTCTCTTGCAATGATCTTCCATTTATTATTGTTAATAATGCCAAAGTAAGAGAATAGTAGTAAAGATTTTTCATCATTTATATTTTTATACGAATGAAAGAATTTTGTTGACGTACAGTATGTACTATATACAACAATTGTCTCCGTCTTAATCTCATCACTAATTCTTTTGTACATATAATGTCTCATATAATATTATATCCTTATGTATATAAGAGAGACGAAACGTATTCGAAGGATTAAAAAGCTTAGACACGAACTTAATGTTTACAATGTATTGATAGATTCATACATTCGATTGATAAAATTTCGAAAAAACACTACAGAAAAATTGTTAGGCAATTAGTATTCTTATTGATGAAATGTCTAACAAATTACATGCACAGTACGATGTCCACCTTTTTTGCCTTTGACAACATTGGAATCTTTCTCCATATTGTCATGATTTCTACTGGTTTCTGTATGCGACTTGGAACGAATATTCTTTGTTGTTCGTTGATGATGTTGCTTCGTGCGTCGATGTTCATGCATTTCATCGCGTACTACTTCCAATGATTGAATCAATTCTTGATTTCCATAATAATTTGCTAAGGTAATGAGGACAAGACGAATTTCGTCAAGAAGAATTGACGTGAGATTATGAGTAAACGTTTAGCGTACGACGATTCTGCGCATAGTAATATCACTGGCATTAGCCGCTAGAGTATAATAAGGTATAATCCAACCTCGTTCTCTCAACCAATGCACTAGGGTCATTTCGTTAAATCTGCGATTTTGCGCCGGATTAAGTACAGGTGTCCGGAAAGTCATCTAACAAAAAGAAAATTCCACTTTTTCACCGATAGGATAAAAATCAGCATATTTAGCAAAGAATCTCTTTACGTGTATCTGTATGAATATAAAGCTTGAATGCACCTATATCACCGGTAAAAATATCAGCTCATTTATCTGAGCTTTGGTGAAATTATTCAATTCTGTTTGTGGACAAAGTGACTTTTGCATCATTCTATATATATTTTTTCCTATCTGTGAAAAAAGCGGAATTTTCTTGTTGAAGTCCATGTTTCATAGTTAACAAATAGTTTCATTAGGCACGTCGTTATGAATATAAGCTCTGAACTAGGGGTGGCACTTTATCTTTACTTTACCGATTAAAGTAAAGTAAAATACTTTACTTTACTCAGTAAAGTAAAGTAAAAAATCTTACTTTACTTTCTCGAGTAAAGTAAAGTTACTTTTTTATGCTTTACTTTACTGGATAAAGTAAAGTAAAGTACTTTACTTTATCCAGTAAAGTAAAGTTAACTCACTTTATCAGAAAAGTAAAGTAAAGTAAAGTAAAGTAAAGTCAGATCTACAAAGTGTCTCAGATTTGCTAATGCACTCAAGAAACATACGCGAATTGACCATGGATCGTCGAGAACATCAAGATATTTAAACCATATTCAAAAAGCTTAATGTTCTATGAATCAACTTCAAGATGATTGCAAGGGAGTTTGAAAACTTGTTTGTTAGTAACACATTTAAAAGACTTGAATGCCTTTGCACTAAAATTATTAATTATTTTCTACTTTACGAAAATCAATGCATTTCGTTTTTTCTGGCAGTTTAGATGATTATGAAAAATAAATAATAAGCTGTACACATTTGATTTATATTTTACTGTTTTCTCATCTAATCGCGAAGATTGCTTAATAATTGCTAAGAACGCCAAATTTTCTCATTTTCCATTCAATATATGTTGATTCGCATTGATTGCCATTTTAGAAAAAAATGATAAAGAATGCTGTTCGGTGCCACGAATTAAATGAAGACCATCTTCAAACCACACAATACATCACAATGAGATAATCGTAAGATAAAACAAGAACAATATGAAAGAGCTTATTCAGAACAAAATCTGGCGATTTTTTGAAAAAGATATGAATATTTTACACCCTGAGAGCACATTATTTTCAAGATTATGCCAAAATAAGACAAAAACTGTGTTTCGTTCAATACCTATAATTTCAACAATTCATTTTATTTCGAAAGACAGTGCAGTTCTACGAAATTGCAGGTTCCACATTTATCTATCTCATGTTTCATCGAAAAAAAAACACGCTTTCAAAAGTATCGATAACTCTAATACACCGCAAAAAATAGACACAACACAAAACAATGTTTCACACATAAATGAACTTCATAATGTTTGCTTGGGTAGTTTCAGCACAACGCAAATAGAAACAAAACATAAAGATGTCTCTCACACAAATAATTTCAGCATTATTCACGCAAAATCATTGAGTATCTAAGTCCTGTCGTTGAAAGAGATGATCGAGTTTTACGCTGAATGTATCCAGCCACACTGAATGCACTTTCAGCTGGCACACTCGTCGCCGGTATACAGTTGTATCGCTTGACGAATTGTAAAAGCTTTGGAAGATTTTTCTCCTCTTGAAGCCAATATTTGGCGAAATCCGATTGCGAACGATTTGTGGCCATGTAGTGGCATAATTCTTCTTTGAACGTGAATGTCTCTTTGACGAAAGGTGTTGGTGTACATTCAGGTAAAGTCATTTCACAAATCGATAAAAATTCATTCAATGAAGATGTCTGTTTAGATGTGGTACTGCTTAGCATCGGCTCATGATGTGATGATGTTGATTCGCTGTTTGCCGTTGTTGCAGGAATGTTGATTCGCAATCCTTCCAATGATTGATTGATATCAAACTCTACTAAAAGTAATCGTTCTGCTTCAAAACGCTCCTCGTCTTCCAATAGTCGATAGGTAGTTGGGTCAAGAAAGGCAGCAATCTACATAAAAAACAAGAAAAGAAAAATTATGTGTTTTTGGCAGAGAAAGTTGAAGAACTAAATATGTACTGTATGTAATACAACGATATATTTTTTATCTACAATTGAAATTCATTCTGTTGTGCCGATGCAACAATACTGCTTAAATCCTGTAACGCATGGATCTGAATAGATTCATTCCATGCAATTACTTGATTGCATTTTTTTCAAAATGTCGTGCTAGCTACAAAACCCTAATCTCATCAGCATCAAAAATATTTTATACAGGTAGATGAAATCAAATCCTTCACTCGGTTAATACAAGTAAAAATTTTCAGAATGCTTTCTCTTTAACAAGTCATGAAAGAGGCTGTACGATATGTAAAGTCTCAAGTTCGATATTCTCACAGACGATGTTTTTTAGTTTTTCAAGACGACTCAGCGAAATTTAGCGAATTCTTCTGTCAGAAGAAGGTTAACGTATGCACTTCACTGTTTCATTTCTGTTAGCAGCTTTTTCTAATGTGAACAAAGTTTTTAAAGGAAACCATTATGTAATGACTACCATAAAAGCTCAAGTTGATTAAAGCAAATCTTTCTAGTCTTTTTCAAAAACTGCGTTATGCATTCTTGCGACTCTGTTCGATATTTGAAAACGTTATACATACCAAAGTAGCTTGCTTTTGTTCCCATTTGGTTTCTCGTTCGAAATAATGATGAAATTGTCCAAAGAGCAGATGTTTCATTGCATTTTCCAACGGTTGATCATTTTTGTTTTTGGTTAAAAAGATTTTCAGTCCTTTCAAAACTTGAAATGATATCGATAATGTTGGATATTTCGATCCGGATAGTAATGACGTCGCTTTGTAAAAAGGAAACAAAACATTTTTAAGTGCTGATAGACATAACCAATCATTCGAAGAAAACGAAAGTTTTCTTAGCTTTTCATATTGTCGTTTTGTCAAACCAATTTCGGTGCTTGGTGATAATGTAATATCATTAACGATTCCACTAAGGGCAATAAATCGAGACAACATGGTATAAGTTGTGTTCCATCGAATACGAAAATCGAGAACGAAGTTATTCAATTTAATGGCTGCAGTCTTTTGTTCTTCAGCACGTCGCGTTAGTTCGGTTTGTTTCAAATGGATTTGGTGGCGAACATATCGACTGAGAACACTAGACTTTCGAATAAAATTGACTAATTTTCTGATCCGTTTTAACAGATTAAAAATGGTGGTTGGTAATTCGTCGGAATGATAGGTAGCTGTAGTAGCTGTTTGTTCATTCCGCGGCCGTTGGATGCTTTCGATAACCCGAGGCGATGCTTCGTTTTCGTCGTCAGTTCCATTCATATCATCGTTGCTCGATAAATCATCATTAGATACGACCGAAGTATTCGCAGCATCATGGTTAGAAGTAAAATCATCAGAAACATCGCTACAATAACCGTCTCCGGTAGCATCTAGGTTTAATACTTCAATTTCAGCAACATAATCCTCGTATTCCTCGTCGTCTTCATTGTCGTCACATTCCTCATAATCATTGTGATCATCATTTGGTTTAGTTGTTGCATCCGATGAAGATTTGGCTCTGAAAAAATTTTAAAAAGCATTGAATTTTTCAAAGTTAACAACTGATAAAGTGTGATCATCGACTTTTCTTGCCATACTAATTACTGCATGGATATTTAAAAAAAGCTCAGTATCTACTTTCTCCATTCAGATATGAATGTGTTCTAAAAATTGGGGAAAAGTCACGATGTCATAGGCTAGCCAGGAATCGTGGCACTTTGTCTAGTTAATAGAAGCAAAAGTTAGCCAAGATGATATAGACACATGTTTCCCTGCAAGTGTAATAAGCTATAGTCTGTGGCTTTTAACGCTAATGAGAAATAGGAATTCTAAGAGCAGCAGTTACGGTACAACACTGATCGATCAAGTAAAAATCAGTGAAAACACGCTGTCCTCAAGTGTATATCTTTGAAAGACAGGATTGAAAGTTAATTCTCTACTCGAGTATTACTCTACTCTCAGTTTTGCTCAGAAAAAAGAACAGGACAAAATAGGACAAACTTTCTTACTTTGTTGATGTTTTATCAAATAGCCATAAAGCCTTTTTGACGACCAGATTAAGATTATGCGCTGCACATCCAATACGAATTCCAAAGGTTTCACCTTGAGTAGCACACTTGATATCCGGTCCGCCGTCGGTGGTAATAGATTGGATCTTGTTTTCCAGATTCATTTTTTTTAATTCATGGATAATAAAATTTCGGAAATTTTCTCCAGAATGTTTATCAGAAAACCGACGAAATGACAAGACAATCGATTTATTTTCAAGCGATGCGGTGAAATAATGGCAAGTTAAACAAATAAAATAATCGTGTGTTTTACTCTTCCATACATCAGCTGTTAAACTAACATTGTGCACAGATGACAATTGCTCTTTAATCAATTTTCGTTTTTCTTGGTATAATAATGAAAGACGTTTACTAACAGTCTTTCTGTGTGGTCCTCGATATCCAGGTTTCATGAGCGATAAAAATTTGGTCATACCTTTTTTTCTGAAATGGTTGTAAGGTAATGAGTCTTGTGTGATTGCTTCGATAGCAGCAGCATCCAGGATGGCCTTTTCTCCAGAAGAAATCATTTTTGGTTTTGGTTGGTGTTGAGCTTTTTGAGATGGATAAAGAAAATCTTGCATTCGATGCGTTTTGCCGAGATGACTACGCAAGTTACTGTCAGAGTTTTCGTTGTTTTTACTGAAAACCTAAAGCATGAAAAAATAGAATGGACTTGTTTTCTTACTCTTAAGATATTTCTTAGGTAAAATGAACTGATAATTGAACAAATTTTTTCGTTTCAGGGTGTTGAAAGAGAGTACTATTGATTGAGAAAACCTACAGCTAAGCTATTATTCGAAACGCCATGCCCGTACTAGATTATTCCAGGTTAGTAGTGAGATATTCACTTGTCTTTTTTTAACCAAAGAACGATAACCCCAAAAAACAGATGAAGAAGTTGATTAATACACGAAATCTTACCTTATCACTATTGACGCATAAAGTACATTTGTAACTACCATCTACTAATTTTTCAAAATGCTTGAAAACATCTTTCTTTGTTGTTTTTGTTGTTTTCATTGTTCGCTTGACACTGTTCTCTTCATCGGTATCACTACTTTGATTCAAATGATCGTTTTCCATAGCAGCCGTTTGATTATCATCGGTCGTTGGATTGTCATCGATCGTTAAATTAGGAACAATTCCATCCGGAAGATTATTCGATGTTGTAGTGCGTTCGATAATATCGCAATCCATGGTATCATCTAACACGCTAATTTGATCATTGGTATTATTTTGATCTAACGCCATTGATTCATTAATCTCGATAGAATCCACTGTGATTTGGGTCGAATTTCTTCTTGAAATGGATTTGATTAGTTTTCTACTGAGTATAGGACTTGCTGTTGATGATTTTGCTCGGCCACGAAAACTACGACGGTTTGTTCGACTTGGAGAGCTTTGAGTTTGAAATGAAACAGCTGCTTTCGTTTTTGATCGTAGTTCACGTTCAGGAATAGCAGACGCACTTGTTGTTTCTTCCCCTGATGCCATTTCTTAGTTATTCTACTATATATTTGATAAATAAGCTAGCAAAATGAACCTTGCGTCAAAAAGAACCGCACTGCAATGAACTTTCACAAATCTATATCAACGATTCTGTTACAATGTGTTCTGTGACTTTTGCTTGTATATGTATATGCAATTACAACAACATAGAGAGGAAAGTAAAAAAAGGATGGCATTGAACGTGTATATCTCTCTCTCCAGCTGCCTTTCCTCTCTCTCTCTCTCTCTCTCTCTCTCTAGCTGCCTTTCTCTTTCTCGTGCACATACACACACAGAATGATAATTTGATCTATTCGAATTTCGTTTTGTGTTTCATTTATACGAGAATAACAAACGAACTGTTGGAGTATATTCCTACTGCAATTTTCAACACTAGTGTTTCCAATAGAAATTTTAAACTATGGTTCTAGCAAACCCTTTCACTGAAATATATAAAGATAGGCTTAGTTTAAGCATGATAAATCAGAGAGTTTAATGATGTATTGGTCAAATTATCGTCATTTAGATGAACAATTTTTAGCGCTGTTTTGCAGAAATATAGAGAAGTGTTGACTTGAAGTTGAAATGGATTTGAACGTATGAAATCAACAACACATAGTTTTTCTAATATTATTTTAATACAAGATATTTCCGTCTCCAACTAAGGCGACTAGACAGTGTGAATTATATATTAGGAGAATGATAAGCGATGCGTGAAGCCTAGCAAATATAAGTCGGAAGGAAAGAAAATGTATGTTCATTTAATGAAATTGTTATTTTTCGGTTTGTTGGTATAGTGTTTTGAAGGCGAAAGTTGATATAATTCAAATTAGTACCGTTTGACATGGAGAGATACGGTATACAAAAAGAACGACTGAAACAAGAAGTTGTAATTTAATAACGGAGATAAATAAAAGCCAAATGGCGTCTGAAAGTTGAGATATATTTGCAGTCTTTTGTCAGACGAAATGTCTAAATCTTAGCAGGGCGTTCTTGTTTCTTCTGACAAACATGTGTTAATTTATATTAGCTTGGTTATCGAGAGGTTCGTATAAATTTTTCTTATTTGATACTCCCATGGTAAAAACTGCTCTGCATTTGACGTTGCTTCTTAAATGGAAGGGTTGCATTTAAGCATGCACCTGTTTTCAGTCGTAATTGATGGACTATTGCCAGTCTTAGATGGTCAGCTAGGTCGACTGGGTATTGAGTTCTAATTCTACCAATTGATGCTTAAACTATGAATGAACTTGGTAGGAGATGCAGCATTACTTTCCACTCATTCCAACTGTCCTGATGCATACCTAGCTACATATAAAAATACATAATTGATTATTATTTTCTCATTATTTAACATGGTAGAAACTACTGTACAGTTAAGATATTTCACTATTAGTAGTGCGACCCGATTCAAAAAACTATTGGCGAGTATTGCATTATTCCTATTTCGCATTTATTTATTCATCATTTCAGTTGCATTGCATTTTTCAGTTAAATTTCAAAGTCTTTTATCAATAATTATTTTTTGATTTATGAAGATCAAAGGACTCACTAGTAGCGGCTCACTACTTAAATTTTCAATCAAGTCTTCACTGTAAGAAGAAAACCAAGAAGTGTTAAATGTGTCATTGAAAGAGCAGTGAACAAGCTGAGTATGTTTTTTGAGTGTATTAGCAAACCTGAGACACTTTGTCGACCTGACTTTACTTTACTTTACTTTACTTTACTTTTCTGATAAAGTGAGTTAACTTTACTTTACTGGATAAAGTAAAGTACTTTACTTTACTTTATCCAGTAAAGTAAAGCATAAAAAAGTAACTTTACTTTACTCGAGAAAGTAAAGTAAGATCTTTGACTTTACTTTACTGAGTAAAGTAAAGTAAAATACTTTACTTTACTTTACTTTTTCAAAGTAAAATAAAGTTAAAGTGCCACCCCTACTCTGAACATTTCTTTTTGTTAGATGACTTTCCGGACACCCTGTACATACAAACGTATTTCAGTTTTTAAGACCACTTTTTTCCGGCAAACCCCTCCATTCAGTCGAGGGAATAACACACATGTTTTTCTTTCTACTCTTTTCTGTGCACAATTGCTTGTCATCAAAACTCGCTTTGTGATCGATATTAACTGAATGATTAAATCATTTCAAATCTATATTTTATGATTCATGAATTTTTTTTATTTGTCAACATAAAAGAAAAACGAAAGATTATTCATGCTCTATCAATTTTAATCAGCAAATCTCATATATCCAGCAACTTTATCTGTCGCTGCATCACTAACTTTTGATATAATTTTTTCTTTAAATCATCTTGAGCTTTGTCAAGTCTTTTACTCATATAAGAAGCGACAGTTTCAGGAATATAATGAAGAACAAGATCTATTGTTCTACCTGCTTTTCTTTAATGAAACTGTTGTTATATGAAGCCATTCTTTCTTTAAATTTGTATCAAATCGACCGCCTTGATCATCATCCCATAAGTGAATATATTTTGCTTCTAATTTCTCTGGAACTGGAACTGAAAAGATAAGTTTTTCATCAAAAATTGGATTTGATCCATTTTTGTTTGTCGATCTTTATTTCTTGATCTTCCTTTTGATTCATTTGGAAGTGGTTCCAGAGAAACAACAACATAACAATCATTTTCACCAAGCCAATCACTTTGTGTCAAATTATTCGCTTTAAGAATTGTAATTGATAAAAGACCTTTGATACGTTGAGATGAACTCATTCTCTCTTGTCGAATTACTTTTTAAAAAAGTGAAGAAAATCGACTCAAAAATAGTTTATTTGCATAAATGAATAACACATGTTTTTTTTGTTCTTTCCTGTGCAAACTGTTTTTATTACTTGTTTGAGAAAAAATATATCTATAAAAGACACCGTTCTTTACCTTTATAAAGTTACCAAAGATAGTTTCATTTATAATTGATCAAGTAGCTTGATTATACTTTTCAGGAAATCATTTGAATTCAATTTGAAGAAAAATAAGTTTAAGTGATGAATATTGTGTATATGATAGAATGAACGAATGTGAAAATAGTATATTCTAGTTATAGGGTAAAGTTCATTCATATCGTGATGTGTTGCGAAATTTTGCTACAACTAAAGTAAATGTCATATTTTTCGAATTTTTTCTTTATTTGTTTGAACTACTGAAATTCTATCAAACGAATATAAAACTAGTAAACTTATTGAATTTCAATTTGAAATTCGAATCATTTCTAAAAAATATTTATTTTGTCTTTTGAAATTTCGTTTGGAATTTCATATCTTCTCTTAATTATTTGTTCTGATTTGATATATATATACATCTATGATTCGACTTATTGATCTTCATTATTTAAATCAAGATTTTCAATGTCTGTCCCAGCTCAAATACTATTTGGATTTGTATTATTCATTTTGTTTATCAATGGAGAAACAAGTTTATGTCCAGATACATACAGTGTGATTCTAAATGGTTGTTATAAAATAATTGTTAATATACAAATGACATGGTCAAATGCAAAACAATATTGTCATGATGATTTTAGAAGATTAAATATCCATGGAACAACACATCTTGTTGCATTTGAAAATCCTGTTGAAAAATCCGGACTTTTCTATTGGATCAAAGGTAAGTTTTTGATAAATTAATTATGAAATTTTGATCATTTTCTTTGAAATTCTCTTAGCATATAATATTTTTAATGATTTTTGGATTGATGGTGAAGTTTCAACATTATTATGGACTTGGTCAAATCAAGCAATGAAAGAACATGTTTTGTCCAAATGAAACACTTTTAACAGGACATGGAACGAATTATAAATTAAGTTTTAATTCAAGTGAACTCAAATATCAATTAATGAATGAAAATCAATTTAAATTATTACCATTTATTTGTGAATATCAAAGTCAGTTTTCTTCATCTGGTATATAATATTTTTATTTATATTCTGATTTATAGTTTCATGCAATACAACTGGAAATTGTCAAAATAATGGAAAATGTTTTCTAAATATGGGAATACAAATATGTGTTTGTTCACCGGAATATACAGGAAAATATTGTGAAAATAGAATATTCGAACAGTCAACAACAACATCATATCTACTTAGTGATGGATCACCAAATAGTTTGAATATTTTTAATATTCTCTTTTTATTTTTTCTTTCAAATATTTTCATTCTACAAAAATAAACTACAGATCTTGTGAATATGAATATCAGTGAACCTGAAGTTGACTCATCCACACCCACTAATATTCTCTTTTCATATTTCATTCGCCGAACGACGTTATCAGATAGTGATATATTTATCAAACTTTCACATAAATAAAAAAACAATATACTACCATATTTTTGTATATAAAACAATGCACGTTTTTTTTTATCGACTGCAAATAAATATCTTATCGATTATATTTTTACATTGATTAAAGGAGAAAATATATTCGACAATTATATAAACGGTAAGTTTAATCGTGATTTAATTCGATAGGTTATAAACGAACGTTTCTCCGAAAACTAATTAATCATAAACATTATATTAGCATCAAATGTGATGTGCTCTTTGATCTTTGCATTAGTATATGAAAAAGTAATTTATTCTCCTGCGTTCTCTCACAATGAAAGATAAAAGGTGGACTAGTGCATTTTACTTTTTCTATTCGGCGAAATTTGAATATAAGCAGTGAAAGTAGACACTGACTCGATAGTAATGTCATCGTTCAATTACAAAATCATAAAGAATTGACAGAACATATGAAGAAGAAAAGATTCATACTATTGACTTCCTTTCGATGATTGTTAGTAAAGTTCTTTTTGTTTTTAGATATATAACAAAACTTCATTCGAACGATATGAGTCAAATATTAAATCCATATAAAATTTTAGAAGTTGAATGGAATGATACATTAGAAATCATTCGACAAGCATGGCGTCGAAAAATAATTGAATGGCATCCAGATAAACGTGCTGTAAATGACGAAGATGCTGGAAGAATGTTTCGAGATATTCAAAGAGCTTATGAAATTCTCTCAAATGATATGACTAGACAAAAATACGATGAAATATTTAATGATAATGATGATGAAGATGAAGATCTTGATTCATTTCTAAATCATTTATCTTTAGAAACAGGTTCAAAACGTTCGGAAATATTTGAAAAGAAAATGAAAGGATGGATTAATGAATATCCAACTAGAACATTTCTAGACAATGTTGATAGTGAATTATCCAGTATAATCATAGAATTATCAAATAAATACAAAGAAAAATTCAAGCATAATTTAGTAAAAATTCGTTGTAATGTATGTCATGAATTATTTTATAATCTTAACATTCATAAAGAAAATAAAAAAAAGATTTTAAATACATTTCTTGTTCAATATAGTAATTCAACATTGGATGAATATCTTACGTTGAATTTTCCCAATGAATGGAATTGGAAACCAATATCAAAAGTTCCTTCGATTATTAAAGAATTATGGTGTAATGAAAAATGGTATAAACTTCAATCTTTAATAGATTCAATTGCAACATCTATTCAAATTCTTAAAAACAAATCTCAAATAAAACCATTTATTATTGATCAATCAATCAAATCTGTAATATTATCAATAGTAAATATTCAATCAATTGAATATCTTCCAAATATATCATTATATATCAATTTAATTAACAATGAACAACGAATACAAAAAGGAAACTTTTTTAAAAATATATCAAATAATCATGAAAATGATTTTCCTCGTACAGGTTCTATTTGTATTGTTAGTCAAACAGATGAAATGAATGTATTAAAAAAACTTATGTTTCAAATTGAACGACAAACAATTTTTATTGATAAAACCAATTCTATCGAATGTAATATTTGTAAAGAAAGATTTAATTTCTTACGAAATAAACATCGTTGTCGAATGTGTGGTCATATACAATGTGATAATTGTCAAGTTTGGCAAACATGTCGTCATTTTGGATATATTCAACCAGTTCGAATATGTCTTTCATGTTCTCAACAACATCATATATATCTTGCGAAAGTATTATATCAACAAATTGAACGATTAATTGCTCAACCATATTCGGATTATACTCATATTTATTTAGCTTTATTAGATTATTATGGAAAAGATTTTGATTCGAATCAAATTTATCAACGTGCTATTCGATATTTTTGGGAAAAAAAAAGAATTTAATCGTGTATTACAATGTTATACTTATTTTGCTAATGAACAAGATTGGATAGAACTTGCGGAGAAATTTTGTGATGAATATTCATTGTATGAATTTGCAGCTGTTTGTTTTCGTGTGATTTCAACAAGATCTGATACATTTTGGATTAATAAAGCAAATAATTATTTTGAAAAAAAACGATTTATATTAGCATTACTTTGTTATGAACAAATCAATCTAAGTATTGAAAAGACTTGGTTAATATTAATATCAACAATTCATGATAAAATTCAAATTTATTTATCATATTATATTCAATGTAAAATTGAAAAAATATCAAATGAAAATAAATCGAAATTTCTCAATCAATTACAACAATATTTAAAAGAGAATCAAATTCGACAATTTGCTATTAAACAATTACAATTAGCAAGTTTATCTTCATCAGAATGGAAAAATATTTTAGAAGAATTTGCAAATAAACAAGAATATATCATTACAATTGAAATTCTTTTAGCATTACAACCATATTCACAAGAATTTACTCATCCGTTTTTAAGATCAATTTCAATTTTCTTACGAAATTCTATACTAAAAATTGATGAATGGATATGTTGGGGGCAAAATTGAGATTTGGTCAAATTTAGAATCTGACCGGGCAAAACTAGAATTCCAATTCTGCCCAGACAAAATTAGAATTCCAAATTAGACTAGAATTTTCTTGGGCAAACTTGGGATTTCAATTCTGCCCAGACAAAATTAGAATTNAGTTTTACAATCGTCAACAAATAAAAATTTAATTATTCAAGAAAAAATAATATCAAAACAATATGCTGGTTTAATTTATCAATTACTTAATAGAACAATTCATTTAACTGATATTGCACCAATAATGAATATTCCTGTATCACTTACTTTTGATACGATTTATTTCGAAGCAATTAATGAATCGTTTATGATTTCTTATCTTGATATGATGACAAAAGAACAAATTTCATTAATACCTTATCAATATTACGTTTTAGAAGGTGTATGGTTAGGATGGATAAGAAATCAAGTATTTTCAGATATTCGATATATTTCTATGAAGATTCTTCTTAAAAGCAAACAATGGAATATGGTCGATGTTGAAAAACTTCTTCTATGTTCGATCATTCCTCGAACATCTCAAGGATGGCTTTATTGTGAACGACAACCATTGATTCTAACCAAAGACAAGATATGTTTTCAACGAGTTGATGGTATTTCAGTTGATACGACTACTGGTGAAATATATTTTCTCTTTCAACCGGCTTTGAATCCAAATGATGGTTTATTTGATGAAAGAGATGTTGCAGAAGTTCTTCAAAATGATTTAACGTATACATATTTTTCATTGGAACAACCCGATGGAGATTTACTTTATCATCCATTTCAAGAAATGAAATATAAACCAAAAACATTATTAAATACACGTTATCTAGATACGATGTTACATGCGGATTATTTACTCAAAATGTTTACGACAGGTGTTGAAGTTTGTGCTAAGATACCTTTTACTATACGTTCTATTGACGAAGGATTTTTTCAACGATTACCAGAACATCTACGACAAAAATTACGTCCTTTGCATGAAATGCGAAATGATCATAAGGATAAAAAACATAGAACCCATCGATTTTGGATTCAAGCAGATGATACAACTTATGAAATAAAGCAAGTTCAAAATAATTCAAATCAATTTTCTATGAGAGTAGGGAATGTTCGATTACGTGTTCGGAAACGTCGATTAATTGCCAATAATAAAGGTATATTGATTGATGATGATGATGAAAATTTAGATGAACATGATTCACCAGAAAGTCAATTTGCTCGAGCTTTTACGGAAAATTATGATGAAATTGGAAAATATTTTCCTGAACTTCTTCGATTAAAAGAACTTGTTAAACTTGGAATTATACTCAGTTTTATACGTGATGCATATGAAATACTAGCACGACCTGTTTCAATAAATTCAATAGCGACGTACTTAGCAGACTGGCGTCGTCGCATTAAATATCCTTGTGCAACTCATGCAAATGAGTCCACAGAATATCAGGATTGCCTAACGTGGAATATGGTTGATGCAAGAGATGTGTCATCGGCTGAAGAGCAGAGAGTAAAAAACGAAATTTATCAATACCTTGAGAGTATAGATCAGGAAACTGTTGATAAATACACAAACTACATTTGTGAGAAGTATCATTCAAGTGATAGATACACTGCTCGATCATATGTCAAACAATGGCTTGAAAGCAAGGAAAATGATTCTCTGACTAATTTTATTGCTAATTCAATGAACAATTACAATAAAAGACTTCTTAAACCTATTGAAAAAATGAAGATTAAACTTAATGACAATGAAAATGGTTAGTATAGTAGTATTCATCTAGATAATCTCTAAATTAACAAATCTTAAATAACATACATATTTTTTCTATTTATCAAGTATCATCGACAGAGGTCAATGCAACTAAATTTTGTCATTGGGTTCCTGCAGTTTTTCATAGAACAAGCAATTCTTCACGCGTCTATGGTGGTTTACAATTATCTATCGATATTCGTTCAGGTGTTGTACCACTTATCCCTGGAGTATGCCGATATAATGCTCTTACACTTCTTCAAAACGTACCAAAGAAGATCATAATTCCTGAAGAGAAACACCCATCGACAAAAGATTTCAACAAAACATCATCATTGCTTAAAGATACAAATTCAAGTATGACAACTATCTTTTAATTTCTATTTTATCTTTTATCATAGGTACAAATAATATTTCTAACCGCACGTATCCACCAAAATCCTCAGGTAATTGTTGAAGTTTTACAAAAAAACCCACATGAGATAATAATCTTCTCATCTACAGAAACACACAATAATACAACTAAACTTTCTGAAGCAAAGCAAACCTTCGAAAAAACTGATTCAACGTCTACTTCCACTGAAATGCCAATGGATTTCACCAATTTCCATCTATTAGAAACTGTTAAGAGTTTATTACGAGATTATATTCCAGAAAACCTACCGGAACCATCTCCACTTATACAATATCTTAAAGAAAAATATCCTGGTAATATTCGTATGTATAATCTTATTAAAATCTTTTGATTCTATAAATTCACCAAGACTTTCCTTATTTTATTTTTCATAGTAAATCAAATTGATACTATTGAAAATGCTCAATCTAATGTACTCATACATACTGCACAAGAGAACTCAACAATTAAAAATAATACACAAGTTGTTCAAGAAGTTGCTCCAAGTACGACCTTAACAACTTGTGAGAGAATTACTCAATTACGACAATCGAATGACTCAAGGCTAAGAAAATACAAAGAAGAATGGTTAGAACAACNGTTTGCCCAAAGGAAAGTACTGGTCAAATATGAGATCCTAGTTTTGTCTGGGCAGACTTGGAATTCCAAGTTTGCCCAAGAAAATTCTAGTCTAATTTGGAATTCTAATTTTGTCTGGGCAGAATTGAAATCCCAAGTTTGCCCAAGAAAATTCTAGTCTAATTTGGAATTCTAATTTTGTCTGGGCAGAATTGGAATTCTAGTTTTGCCCGGTCAGATTCCAAATTTGACCAAATCTCAATTTTGCCCCCAACAGATATGTAATATCATTAATATCGATCAAGTGATTATGAATATAGCATTTATTTATCATTTAAATCCAAATTTAAACTGGACAGATCTTCAAACAATGTTTCTTGAGAAAAACATGTTTCTTGCAGTTATGATATGTTATAAAGTAAGAACAATTTTATATTCAAATTCAAATCTTAATATACAATGGATTGAAAATGGTCTGTATGATAATGAACCAATTGCATATGAATTGAAACGATTATTAACAGGAAAAAATTGGCAACAACTTGCTGAACAATCGATTAAAGAAGATCAATCACAATTAGCTATGAATTATATTTGTCTTTGTCTTGATACAAGTTTTCCACAGCGAAAGATTGTTGAATCTGTACTAAAATTTGCAAAAAATTTTTTATCATCGAAGGAAAAACTTCAATGTATATTAACTACTTATAAGAAGATAAAAAATGATATAAATTGTTTAATTATTACAATTGAATTCTTAGTTGAATATTGTCAAACAAATGAATTAACATTTAATATTCTTGCTCGAGGAATTCAATCCATTCAGAAGTCAGAATATCCTTCTTCATTATATATACATTTACTAAATGAATTAAGTAAATATGAAGAATTTTTTCAAATTTATGATGCATGTCTTCATCACATAGCTCATATGAAAAATCTACAAAATCTTATTAAAAATCATCCAAATCGTGTTCGAACTTTTGTACGGCAACAACTTAAATCTATCATACATGAACCTATCTTGTCATTAGCTAAAATATTAATTAATATTAATAACGTTGATGTCATCGAAGAAATCCTTTCGGAACATTTCAATGAACGAATAATTGCTAATGCATGTGATGAATTTCGTGCTAAAATGTGGTTAATTACTGGTATTCGTGATAAACTTCAAAATCAATATGTCAATGCTGTTGGTAGTTTTCATACAGCAATGATATGTTATCCTTCAAATGATACAAATATAGCTTTATGTATACTTCTTCAAGATTCCGATTTTATTTCAGCTCTTCTTGCAGAATTACTTTTGAATTTAAATGATATGAATATAGATAAATTAGGTGGATTCGCATGTGATATTGAACCACCACCAATAATATTAAATAACGATAATTGTTTAAAACCAAGTAATCATTTATCTTTCATACGTCAATATGAACAAGCAATTTTAAATCAACGAAGTCGATTTTCTATAAAAAATGCACTTTCATATATTGATATGTGTGATGCAACACATAATTCTACTATTATTATCTCAAATTTACTCTTAGCTGGTATTTATTTCTATAATATACTTTTACAAAATCGTCAATCTCCAGCACTTGTCTATGCATATCGTCAATCAATTGAATTACTTTGTAATATGACATATAATCTTGCAATTCATAATCTATCACCATCAATGCAACATTATGCATGTCGTATAATGATTAGTTTATTATGTCGAGCAACATCTATCTTTCGTGTTATAGTTTTACAATCGTCAACAAATAAAAATTTAATTATTCAAGAAAAAATAATATCAAAACAATATGCTGGTTTAATTTATCAATTACTTAATAGAACAATTCATTTAACTGATATTGCACCACTAATGAATATTCCTGTATCACTTACTTTTGATACAATCTATTTCGAAACTATTAATGAATCTTTTATGATTTCTTATCTTGATATGATGACAAAAGAACAAAATTCATTAATACCTTATCAATATTATATTTTAGAAGGGATATGGTTAGGATGGATAAGAAATCGAATATTTTCAGATGTTCGATATATTTCTATGGAGATTCTTCTTAAAAGCAAACAATGGAATATGAATGATGTCCAAAATCTTCTTCAATCTTCAATAATTCCTCGAACATCTCAAGGATGGCTTTATTGTGAACGACGACCATTGATTCTAACAAAAGATAAGATATGTTTTCAACGAGCTGATGGTATTTCAGTTGATATGACTACTGGTGAAGTTTATTTTCTTTTTCAACCGGCTTTGAATCCAAATGATGGTTTATTTGATGAAAAAGATGTTGCTGAAGTTCTTCAAAATGATTTAAGTGACACATATTTTTCATTGGATCAACCCGATGGAGATTTACTTTATCATCCATTTCAAGAAATGAAATATAAACCAAAAACATTATTAAATACACGTTATCTAGAAACGATGTTGCACGCTGATTATCTACTGAAAATGTTGACGACAGGCATTGAAGTATGTGCTAAGATACCTTTTATTACTCGTTCTATCGACGAAGGATTTTTTCAACGATTACCAGAACATCTACGACAAAAATTACGTCCTTTGGATGAAATGCGAAAAGATCATAAGGATAAAAAGCATAGTACCCATCGATTTTGGATTCAAGCAGATGATACAACTTATGAAGTAAAGCAAGTTCAAAATAATTCATATCAATTTTCTATGAGAGTAGGGAATGTTCGATTACGTGTTCGGAAACGTCGATTAATTGCCAATAATAAAGGTATATTGATTGATGATGATGATGAAAATTTAGATGAACATGATTCGTCAGAAAGTCAATTTGCTCGAGCTTTTACGGAAAATTATGATGAAATTGGAAAATATTTTCCTGAACTTCTTCGATTAAAAGAACTTGTTAAACTTGGAGTTATACTCGATTTTATACGTGATGCATATAAAAGACTAGCACGACCTATTTCAATAAATTCAATATCAAGTTCACTGTCAGACTGGCATCGTCGTATTGAATATCCATATGCCACTCATGCAAAAGTGTCCATAGAATATCAACATTGCTTAGCCAGAAATATGATTAATGCAAGTGATGTGTCATCAGCTGAAGAACAGAGAGTGAAAAGCAAAATTCTTCGCCATCTTGAAAATAGAGATCAGCAACTTGTTGGTGAATATACAGACATCATTTGTGAAGAGTGTCATTCAAGTGATAAATATACTGCTCGATCATACGTCAAACAATGGCTTGAAAGCAAAGCAAATGATTCTCTGACTAATTTTATCGCTGACTCAATGAATAATTATAATAAAAGGCTTCTGAAACCTATTGAAAAAATGAAGATTAAACTGAATAATAATGAAATTGGTTAGTATAATACTCATTCACCGAGATAATCTCTATTAACAAGTCTTAAATAACATACTTTTTTTTCATCTATCAAGTACCATCAACAGAGATCAACGCAACTAAATTTTGTCATTGGGTTCCTGCAGTTTTTCATACAACCAACAATATTTCACGTGTTTACGGTGGTTTACAATTATCTATCAATATTCATTCAGGTGTTGTACCACTTATCCCTGGAGTATGCCGATATAATGCTCTTACACTTCTTCAAAACGTACCCAAGAAGATCATAATTCCTGAAGTGAAACACCCATCGACAAAAGATTCCAACAAAACATCATCATTGCTTAAAGATACAAATTCAAGTATGACAACTATCGTTTAATTTCTATTTTATCTTTTATCATAGGTACAAATAATATTTCTAACCGCATGTATCCACCAAAATCTTCAGGTAATTGTTGAAGTTTTACAAAAAAAACCCACATCAGATAATAATCTTCTCATCTACAGAAACACACGATAATACAACTAAACTTTCTGAAGCAAAGCAAACCTTCGAAAAAACTGATTCAACGTCTACTTCCACTGAAATGCCAATTGATTTCACCAATTTCCATCTATTAGAAACTGTTAAGAGTTTATTACGAGATTATATTCCAGAAAGCCTACCAGAACCATCTCCACTTATACAATATCTTAAAGAAAAATATCCTGGTAATATTCGTATGTATAATCTTATTAAAATCGTTTGATTCGATAAATTCACCAAGACTTTCCTTATTTTATTTTTCATAGTAAATCAAGTTGATACTATTGAAAATACTCAATCTAATGTACTCATACATACTGTACAAGAGAACTCAACAATTAAAAATAATACACAAGTTGTTCAAGAAGTTGCTCCAAGTACGACCTTAACAACTTGTGAAAGAATTACTCGATTACGACAATCGAATGACTCAAGGCTAAGAAAATACAAAGAAGAATGGTTAGAACAACGTGGTATAACAGAACAATTAAATCCATTACTTATTAAACAAAACATCGATGATGAGACTGAAGATAACAATGACAAAAATTGACATATATGTATTTTTTATCTAGTTATTTGCTGAATCAAGTGTAATTTCAATTTCAGCTATAGTAGCATTACTATCACGTCTATATAAATGTGCGATTTCAATAAAATATGGTTTTTTGTTTTCATGTAGGGGTGTTGCAGTTAAATAAATATCACGATTTCTTAAATACATTTGTGTTGTTGGATGATCATATGGTAAAGAACGTAATGCGATACTAAAAGCTTCCGAATAATATTTATGAGCGAGTTTATGTTCTCCAATATTTGTATAAACAATACCAAGATTATTACATGTAGCTGCTAAATCTGTTGCATTAGCAAGTGATATACGACGTTGTATTTGAAATGCATGACGAAAACAACGAAGAGCTAATGGAAATTGATGTAAATAATTATGAACCATACCCATATTTGAATGAATACGTGCGAGATGTTCTTTTCTTTGTGGTTTTCGTCTATTTTCAATAATTAATGCATGTCGATAAGCATCAAGTGCTTTGGCATATTTATTTAGTTTGACAAGAATATTTCCATGATTCTCATAAAGAATAGATTCATTTGATGTTGGAAATAATTGATTTGCTTGATTTAAAGCTTTTTCTTGATAATTATTCGCTTCAATGTATAAACCTTGCCGAAAATATATTTGTGCAAGATCATTTGTGATTGTAATAATTAAATCCGATTGATTATTTGTTAATTCTTCCAATAATTTTATATAATATTCTTTTGCTGAATTATATTCTCCTATATGATATAGAAAACGTCCCCAAATAAGATTAATTGGACCATAATCAAATGAAATCTTTTGTTGAAAATGTTTTTTAATAATATCCAATTGTTTACAATCTTGATCTTCATAACAGGAAAGTTTCATCTTATAAGTTTTATTTGATTCAAATTTAAATGAAATTATTTTGAATATAGTTCCAATCATAAATAAATATTCCTCTTCGTCGGGAAAACCAGGATATTTACTAAGATCACAACACATATTTGTTGTTGTTTCAATTTCTATAATTAAGAAAGAATGAGTTTCAGAATTTGTTGAAAAACCACCACCACCAAAAGCGTTCGCAACTTCTTCATTTAGAGTTGTGGATAAAAATGAATTAAATGCTATGAAACTTTCTTCTTTTCCTTGTAATTTATCAATTTCTTCATTACCAATACATTGACCACGATAAACTGTGATCTTTTTTATAGTTGTATCATTTTTTTCTAATATTTGAGTAGAAATATCATTGATAAACATTCTCAAATTGTAAATTTTTGTTACATTCTGTTTTCGCAATGCTTCATTAATAATTTGAAAGAAACATGCTGTTTTTTTATAGTATTCACATGCAGCTGTCGAACGATAATTCCGTTCAAAATCATCAATTTCTCGCAGACGATAATTATCACCGATACATTGTTGTCGACATTCCATTAGAAAATTGTTTCGTGTTTGATCTGTATTTGGAAATGATCGTATAAGATCAATCATAATTTGATACCATATAAATGCTATATTCTCTGTATTAAGATCTCGAATTGATTGTTCGATATTATTTGGACTGAATACATTGAAAGTCTCAGGTACTACAGGCAAATTGGTATTAATACGTTGGCAAAGTGGATTAAGTTCAATAAATGTAGCTTGAAGTTTAGGATAAATATTTGTGAATTCTTGATTATCTGTCTGGCAATAAATCATTGTTACTGAAGGACATTCATTGAGCATATTAAGTATTTTTTGATTATTTGCATAATCACCAAGAACAATAACTGAAATAAGAGAATTTTTTGTTGTAGAAATATAATCAAAACAATCTACAGCATTATCAAAAATATTAATACAATCAGTAGTTAGAATCAATTGTTTACTAAGATTTAATATTTCGTCATCTTGACTATCTGATGTAAGAATAATAATTATTAAACGTTGTTGATTGCGTAGTAACAATGGTTTGAAACTTTGCTTCTGTTCAATTTCATTATTATCATCTAATTGTATTATAGAACTAATTTTGAAATTATTATAGAAGGTTTTCATAAGTTCTTTGTCATTAATATATTCATTTGAAATAATCAATTGGATCGGTTCATGTAAAGATGATATGTATTTGTGACATTCAGTAGCATTATTAAATACAATTGTTGTTTCGGATGAATGAGGATGGTTTTTTTCGTTTTTATTAAGATAAACAGTCGGTAGTGTTTTCATAGGACCTTCATTGATGATAGAATTTAAAATTCGATTGTCTTGTTGATTAATTATATATTCCTCATCTACTTCCATATCATTTTCAAGATTATCAAGCATTCTTTTCCATTCTTGATCATCAGCACATAATGGTGCTCGCATTCGATGCAACATCACTCGTGCTTCATGCATACATTCTTCATAGAAGTTCGATGCACGTTTATTGTTTTTCATAATTATTTGTTCTTGTAAAATATTGATCCGTTGTTCAAGAGCATCGATTTCAAAATTATCATCTATTGACTTTGGTATTCGATTGAAATTTTTAAGTTGACGTAGACGTCTATCCAAATCTTCTAATTCAAAAATATCATCTTCATCGCTGCCACATTCACAATCACATTCATTATTATAATTACGATTTCGATGTAATTTACGTCTTTCATTCCAACATCGTTGCCATTTATATTCATTTATTCTATAGAATGATAGGAAATATTTTGATATTGTAAAATTGTATTATTACCTACTCTTTTAAACTATTAGAATCAATAGTAGTAGAATGTTCCGTTGTAAACGGAATGCGTTGAGTATGATCGACTAATGGTACTTGTGTCATTATTATTGGAAGTTGTGCTTTATTTTTTTAGAAAAAGAAAATGTGTTTATGAGACGAACACAAAAAAATATGTGATGCTTCGATTTTATTATTTTATCTTGTCTTATCTTTTTTTTATATTGTCGCCGAAACATATTTGATAGCACAAGACTCCACATAAAAATCCGTTATGAAAAATGGTTTTTCTTTCACCCTCACCCACACCTTCAAAATACGATTAAATTACTTATCTTCAATCGATCCAACTATTGGGGTTTGCTATAATTTGATTGGTACATCACTTGGACTTCAAGCAATTGTTGAAAGTGCAAACATAGATCAGCAATTAATCCACTTGTCTCTCAAATACTTGAGGCAAACTGACTATATTTTAAAGAGGGGATTACCTCCAAATCATAGAGATTTATTGAAAAATCAACGCGATCTCGAGTTTATCACGGGCATCGCAGAAAACAAAATTTGAATAATAAAAAATAGACGATAAACTTAGTATTATTCTACAACATCGCTATAAAGTGTCGTCACCATTTATGAATTAGAATGTCATTATTACCCATCAAGTTCACTAACACGTTGACCTACACCCTCAAGGAGAAAGTAGAGTTTTGAGTAACTCAGATAGTCCTCAAATTTTGCTAATTGTTTTATTGATGAGAGGGATCATAAAGGTAAGTATTTCATAAAAATGCCAGTCTTATGAAATTTCTCTTCAAATAAAAAGTTTGATGATATATAAATTTAAAATTTTATAGAACTAGTATTTTTATCGCTCGCAAATCAGAACTGTGCAAATACAAATACAAATTGTATTGTGAATTTTCTACAGGAATTATTTGCTCGGTCTGTCTCTTATTCTTCTCTTTTTCTTTAGTTTTATTTAATCGATAAGAAATCGTATTTTTCTGTTACATCCGATAAAAATGGCCATTGCGAGTATATTTATGTTATACAGCGACTTAATACTAAATAATTGAAAAAGTTTATAAGTTTTTCTGCATTGAAGATACATTCAAGTTCGCAACTGAAATATAGACTTAAAATAATCATCACTAATAGAAGACAGTACTGCTCGTACAGATCGTGATATATTTAAAAAAGTTAAATTAGATATCGATCAACTCACTATTACCAATGCTGCTCTTCAGGATGAGTATATTGTAACATATGTCGTGAGTACAGCACATCATGATTTACAGAATCTTATCGAAGATGGCATTGCTCAATCTGATTTGGCACGGAAAGTTATGCAAATAATTTGTCAAGGTTTGACTAATGGCTATAGAAAATCAATACATCCATCGATTGAACGACATGAATTTTGGCAAGTTTTTCATAACACATTTTTATTTCTATTAGAAAATGCTTGTCAATCATCCGATTGTACACTTACTGAAAACGATGGGAAAACGTTTAAATCAATGTGTGTTCTCTTGAATAGCTTAAAATCATCTCAAAACAATGCACATCCAGTTATTCAAAAATGCTTATTTACCGATCGTGTCATAGACATGTTTAGAAAATGTCTCATACTAGTTTCCAACGACTCCTCTTTAACAATACGTTGCATAGTTTTAAAAGAAATACTTCATTGCTTCTGTTTAAGTACTTCATCTCATATGCGTGAACAAATTCAATTGCAAATCCTTGAACCATACATACGTTGCTTATTATCAAAACCATACATAGAAATTTTCGATCATTTGGATAAAGAAAATGCTCTATTTTTCACAGAATCATGTCCTTTATATCTATCGACGTATTGCACCAAACAAGACGAATAAATTGCACTTAAACTATATGAGCCATTTCTGAAATATTGGTTGCGCATTTATCACAAATGGTTTCCTTCATTTTCTGATTGTCAACTGGAGAACTTGAAAATTCGAAATTCTAAGCACGATTCTAACGCTTTTATTCGATATTTAGAAATTTTAACCATTTGTGCGTCATTTAAGACAACACGTGAACAATTCCCAAATGATATCATCAAAGATCTTTTAGATATTATAGTGTCATTAACAGAGATACATACCGATAAAAGTGGACAAAAGCTCTTCTCTATTAAGCATAAATCACATGTATATACTGTATTGGTTTTACTTTATAATTTGACGTTAAGTACCAGATTAGTATCCATCCTAAAAGATTCGATGGAAGCTAATAATGCAAGAGAAAAATATAATGAAATGCTTGTATTTCTGTGTAAATATAAGGATAGAAGTCAAGATGAAGCAAACGTAGAAAGAAAGAGGAGATATGAGGAAAAATTTCAATTTTTAGCAAAAAATCTATTTGCACTAATCATCGATAACATTGTTGATTTGCAGCAACCTGAAGATTTAGCATCAAAATATACAACATATTTATCAAACATGGTTAGAAACTCGACTCAAACACATGGCGGTATTCATTTACGAACGTTACTTCAAGCTATGAAAGGTACAGTTAATAACATCATAAATGATTGATACTTTTTTATATTCTAGTAATTACTCAAAATAGACATATGAGAAATGGATTGATTGATCAAGATGGCCTACCATCATTGACCAAATCAGCATGTGTTGATGAGTTTGATCGTGAAACAATTCAGCAATTAGCTCTTGATCTTATCTGGACGATCAGCTTCAATTCAAAAGCAGCAAAATTCTAGAAAATCGATAAAAGATTTATCGAAAGGCTTAAATCTTTATTACAATCAAACGCACCGGAATTCAAGTTTTGTGCGGATGGAATACTATGGCGACTTGGGGGTGAGGAGGAATTTCAATTGAAAAAAGCACAAGAACGAGGTATATCTGTAGATTATAATACTAGTTTAGACGATAGTATATCGGTGTGAAGCTAGCACGAAGGAGCTAGCACGAACAAACGATATGTTAGCTAAAAACGTTTTTACTAAGTATGTGCCGTCCATGAAAACTACACCATTAGACTCAGAATTAAACTCTGCATCGAATGGTGGCATTTGAATTCGCCGGACAAACTTTGAAAAAATTCTATCTGAATTATAAATAGACCTAAAGGAAACGAACAAAAGTATAGATAGAAAAATTTCCAAAGTTTGTCCGGCGAATTCAAATGCCACCATTCGATGCAGAGTTTAATTCTGAGTCTAATGGTGTAGTTTTTATGGACGGGACATACTCAGTAAAAAATTTTTTAGCTAACATATCGTTTGTTCGTGCTAGCTCCTTCGTGCTAGCTTCACACCGATTGTGTTGCTGAGTGATGTTCTTGAGTATAAAACTGAATATGTTTTTCCATTAGTTATAGTTGATCTGTCGTGAATACTTCTCGGACTGCCTTGAAAATGTGAATTTAGCAATGGCAATCAATCTGTAAGTGTGGATATGTCACACACAGGGTTGTTGCTAGAGAGGAGACTCTGATGGTACTGGCTAAGTTATATAAGGTCAAAGTCAGTCAGATATAAAAGTCAACCACGAAGAAAGGACTTAGGGCTATATTCTCAATTGTGGCGAGGGTCATGCAAAAAATGCTGTTTCCTGTTCTATGTGCTTGTGTTTAGATTGAGGGTAATAGGTGAAACACGCTAATGCTAAAGAGCAGAAGATAGTTAAAAGTGTGATTGATGAGTCCCCTCTACCATACTGAATAAATGGGTGGGATTCATTAAGTGCAATTCTTGAGGTGTGCGATGGTCACATAATTAGCCATCTTTCTACATTGGTAGCAGAAAGCATTTAAGTTTTACCCTGCCAGGATTTCAAAAGATTTCCAGTGCAATCAGGGTGTGGGTAAAAGAGGCTCTCAAATGCTAGACTGGAATATATACGAATTCGTAGTCCAATAATATTACCTCTGGTCGTTGGCCAAGTGCCATACTCCAAAGTCGAGTGAAAATGTTGCCCGAAAAGAGTATTTTTGTTCCTTTCCTAGAATTCTGATGAAATAAGTCGATCGGTACAAGTCGATACCGTGAATAGAGCTGTTAACTGAAATGGCTGCACAGCTAACTCAGACATGAGCTGCTCTTGTTCGCCATGGTCGATGGTGAAGCGAGTGGAAACGATGAATCTTCCTAGTTCTCAACTATGTTAAATAAAACTTCCTTCACACAATAAATATTCTATTAATTCGCAGTATGTATATCAGAAGCAAAGACACTAAACTGCATCATACTTTGAATAAATCTCAAAACTATATATATTCGAAATAAATTCCAGAATGTGCGAACTCGCGACTACGGCTCATTACGAAGAAAAACAAATATTTCACACAATTATAATATATCTATTATAATATACAACATCGATTGCATAATGCCCAGACGGATATATTTCGATAACATCAATTCATACTTGACAAACAAAGATCACTCCAACCTCAAACCAAAAATCAAACCATTCCGTTTGTTATTTCTGGCAAGAAAACTAATTTTTAGTTTTAAACTGCGGAAATTTTTAAATTCACTTCTCAGAAAATTTGCGAGATAAGATTTTCGTTTCAATACATACTTACTTTCATCTTCTTTCTTCAACAGAAGAAATTCACCAATTAGGAAAATTATAGAATCTCACTATCAGTTCAGAATAATAGTTGCTTGTCTGAAAAAAGACCACACAAAGGCATATATATAGTTTTCTGCTCGAATTACATAGAATAATTCAGAGAAAAGACTATTCTACCACTATTTACAATTTTAGCCAGTTTATCACAATAAAATTTCTGAAAAGTATACTATTTTCTATTGCTTTATTTCTATTGGTTCACAAGAATGAACCAATAAGTGAGCGGGAAGAGATGTATGTAGCGGATTTATTGCTAATTAGCGTTGTTCGTGATGCCCACAAATTAGAAATTGATGAATTCGATATGATATCAATAGCGATAACCAAGATCTACTTGAAACCAGTGATTGTTTCACTGGAAAGCACTTTTAGACAAAACTAGGCGCCAAAATCTAGGTTTTTCACGGATTAGGGTCGGTTCTTGACATATTTCGGACTGAAGGAAGAGTCTGGCAGAAAATTGTTATTAGACAAAGTTGTGGAGCTCGTCAAGTTTCATCAGTCCCAGAAATTTCAGACTGATCACAAGTCGCTGAGCGAATGTCAGCCGGATACACTGGTAAAAATCACTATTTTACTAGTATTTACTGGTATAATCCCCACTTATGGTGGATGACCCCCGAGTTATCTTACATCATTCGATGCAGAATGACGAGATCTATCCATCACAAGAGCTTAGAGATCCATCACAAGTCCTTGAGCGAATATCAGCAAGAAATACTCGAATCCGCTGCTAACTTCCGTTACGTCGTTTTTTTCTGTCTGATGTTATTCATGATGACCATTAATGATACTTTTCGAAAGAGAAGGCATGGTTTCATTAGGAGACAAAAAATGAATTTTATGCAAATACAATCGAAAATTCGCCGAAAAGTAAAATCTGATCAACAATTCTACTGAGGATGAGAACGGTCGAGAGACTCTTTAACTACGGCCTCAAATGTTGAACATCTCTGACTGCTTTCAATTTTGATTAGTTGCCTATAAGTAGTTAAACAATACGAGGATATTTTGCGCGAAGCCATTAGTTAAGTGAAGGTTTATTATTGTAATAGGTAAAACAGAATTGAATCCGAATGCTTTCTTTGTAGAGTAAATCGATAACAAGTCTGTTCTGAAATATGATGATATATGTCCACAGTAGATGATTTCTATTTTTCAATTAATGTAACCCCAATAGGCTTCGATTTCGGATAACTTCTTACGTTTTGTCTCAGGCATCTAAAATAAAAATCACCAATAAAAATCTTCGTCTTGTGTTTGTCATCCATACGTAAACAAATAAAACACTTACTTTAAACCAAAGAAGAACAAAAGCTGTTGTACAGAAAAGGCAAAAGATAAGAAAAGTATATCCAGCCAACACTGATTTTAACAATGGAAATAATAGATTGATGACTATATATTAGATAAACAGAACAGACGTGATCGATCATGATTAGCATTTGAATAAAGAAAAGTTATAGTTACTTGTATTACATAACCAACTAGCAAATATTGATATCGATAGAGCCGCTGGTCGCATATCAATTGTAAATACTTCGTTTGGATATATATAAGGAATGGGGCCGAGTCCAACTGCCGATACTGCAATAAATATTAATATTAATACCAAAGATAGTATTGCTAAAATATTCTGTTCTAGAAAAGACTTTGACTATAATCTATAGAAGAAACATACGTATATGATATTGAATAGAGAAACAAAGTAGCATCATAACTATTGTAATTATGATAAGAGGATATAAAATCAATGGACGACGGCCGAATATTTCAACAAATTTAACTGCTGCTGCTGTCATAATGAGATTGATAATACCAGTTGAAAGCACACCCCAATATACTTTGTCATCAACAAAACCAATATCCGACAACGTTTCATTGGAATAAAAAAATACCTTCAATTTAAAGTATTCATTATTTTGATCTCTTTCATTTGAACTCCTTTTTTTGTATATATGAATACTTACAGTATTAATACCGGACAATTGTTGAATAGCATTCAGTGCAATACTAGTCAACAACGGCCAACGATAACGATCTAAAATAAACATCTCATAAATGGATATGTTTTGTCTTGCAACAGTTGCTTCTTCGCGTTCAATTTCATCAAGTTCTGCATCAATTAAATTAACTTGTCGAAGAATACGTAATGATGCAGCTGCTTCAGTTCGTTGTCGTTCTTGGACAAGCCATCGTGGACTTTCTGGTAATGTCCACAGGAGAAAACAACCTGCGAATGAGAACAATCCAATCCACGACATACCCCAATTCCATTTGCTATCGTTGATACAAAGATAAGGAAAGAATTATGTATTGAGAAACTTACTCATGTTGGCCAAGCAACCATGGAAGGCCAACTATTTGCCCCATAAGAAGTCCAATAACGACGAATAACTGATGAAATGTGACAACTTTACCACGCATGGGACGTGGACTTATGTCCATTAAGTAAATAGTCGATACAACACAACACAAACCTATTTTCAAATAAAATTTACATTTCTTTGTTTATTGACTAACTTACCAGATGACCATCCGGAAAGAAAACGTGAGATATAAAGAATAGCAACTGCAATGTCTTTATTTTCAAGTGCATAATTGATCTCGTTTCGATCAGGATCGCCTTTTTTATATCCATTATAAATTTCCAATGGAATTACCATAAGAATTGACGCTACTACTTGAAAAACCATACTAACACAAATAGCATTGCGTCTACAGAACAAACAAATAATATGGAAATTCAAAGAAAAAATAGAAAAAATGTTTGAGAGATTATTAACCTTGTAAAAAGCAAATACCAATATTGCCCAGTTAAACCTCCAATTGTCCCACCAATAACAAGACAAATCGAATGCATCGAATCGATAATACTTTGTACAACCTGTTTATCGACAGGTATTCTTGGTAAATAATAATAGCCTGTCTTATTAAAATATGAAGTTGCAGTATAATTACAGCCCCACCAAACAGTCGCTACCCATTGTGCGACGCCATCAGCTTTTTGACACGGAAACGGATATCCTCTTGCCCAAGGAATAATAAACTAAAAAAATGTTTTCTTCAAATCTTGAAGGGCAAAATTAGTATAATTACTGAATTATATTGATTCGGACCACCATTATTCACACCCATAACGAAACTAGTTGAAAATGTTACAACCAGAACAGCCCAGATTAATGATGATGTCCATTTCTATTGTTACAGAGAACATAGATTGAAATAGTTTGTACAATAATCATCAAAATAAGACGCATGATTCATGTTCTCTTTTAACAAATTGAATCTTACTTGATGATTATTTACAAATTGAAGATTTTCAGGAGCGATAGCAGAATGCATTGTTAATGTTCGAATTCGCATTTCTTGAATATCATGAATAGATTGCTTCGCCATGATTTGCCTTATTACATTCAAAAAAGAAATCATTTTCAAATTCTATACGTAAATGTATTCTTGTGAGAAAAAAAGACTAAGAAGAATGTGTATTGTTTCGCTGAAGAATATAGACGCACAGTAAAGGGAAATCTATTTATCGATGAATGATTTTTACTCATGTAAAATTTAAAATCGAAAGATAAAAACGCAACACCTATAAGTAGATTTATACTGAATGAGAGACAGATATTCAACGCAATACGATTTTCAGATTAGTTTTGTTTTTCTCTCCAACTATCTTAGACGTAGGTACTTTCAAACAATTCCTGTTTTTTTGTTCTGAAGCAAACTCAATGTAGACAAAATAAATAATAGAAGATGTTTTTTCCGTTAGATTTATCAAGAATAATAATGAGGATGTGATGAGGTACCACACCTTTCATCACACCTCTTTGCTCTGTAAACCAAGCTAGTTTGTAAATGCGCAGTTGTTCTTTTTTACTGGATTATGACAAAAAAAACTTCAAACGAAAGGAAAATCTTCTGCAAAAATGTTTTTTCTAATAAAATGGCCTTCATCTCCAAATAAACGTACAGAATTCATTTTTCAGCATATTATGTTATTTCTACAAAAGGTGTACGCTTTGACAGATTGAACTAAACTATTACTGAAACTATTTGAGGAACTAATCAAGTGATATTTGATAAAATCGAACAAACTTTATTAATTACACATCCGCTAGACAGANACGAAAGGAAAATCTTCTGCAAAAATGTTTTTTCTAATAAAATGGCCTTCATCTCCAAATAAACGTACAGAATTCATTTTTCAGCATATTATGTTATTTCTACAAAAGGTGTACGCTTTGACAGATTGAACTAAACTATTACTGAAACTATTTGAGGAACTAATCAAGTGATATTTGATAAAATCGAACAAACTTTATTAATTACACATCCGCTAGACAGAATTTGTAAACGTTTCGGATTTGTTCCGACGCTCAACTATGTTTTATTTCAATGATTCTTTTTCTCTTCTAGACAATGGATTTAGCTGCGTGATCTTTTCTTTCATTTTGCTTTTTGAGCACTCGAGATCAAGAAGGACGCTAAATACTTGGAGAGAAAAACAAAGTTGTTCTTTAACGGCACAAGCGATCATGAATTGAAATTACTAAAAGATCAAAATATTGATAAGATAATAATGTTACGATCGAAACCGATGCTTGGGTTTATATTTTTAAGCGAAGATAACCTAGATTAGAAAATCTTGAGTCAAAGTCAGTCGCTTCCTCTGATACTATGAGGATTTCATAGTAGCAAGATTTGAGACCAGGATTTTTGGATAACTGCTGCAGAATACATTTATTTCTGGAATCTGGGATATCAGCAAAAAAGGTGTGAACGCAGGTGCAAGCGATATTTTTACTACTATTCATTATTCTTATTTCATCTTCTTTCAAAACTGGTTAGCGCGTTAGAACTACAATGTTGATTGCTGTGTGACGTGACTTTTCTCCTTTCATCATTAAAAACCACCGTCTAGATTTAATTCACAACCAAATAGGACTAATCATTTGGCATTTTATCTAATCAAAAGAAAATCTTCTCTTTTTCTGTGATATCTAATATGCAATCAACGAATTGCAGTTTTTTTAAACTTCTTACAAAGCACTTGATGTGGTGTATGATAGACGGAGATCTAAAACAGTCATTAGGCTGGTAATTGAAGTAACATAAACGCTGATTACTCTGATCCTTATTATATTTGCTCTCACGCGTATCGTTACTTGTCTTCTAATTATCAAGATAGGACGAATATATATATGCTGTACCTTTCCTTTCCGATGGAATTGGCTTCCACAGTTCTATCAGTTTTGAGTTCGTCAATTTGGGTTTTGAACTTATATCGAAATGATCTTTAATGACAAAAATAGTTAAATAGTGATCATCTTGACGATATGCACGAATGAATGCGTCTGTTGTGTTTCTCTTCATATCTTAAAATATGTTCTTCCTAATTAATATACTATGAAAATTGTCTGATAAGCTTTGCTTGATTATGATTTACAAGCTCTCTTCAAGCTTTAGTAAAAGTTAATTAGAAACTTTTTGATTTGAATCTATTTAGATCAAAGAAATCTCGCTTTCATATTC